GATTGAATGGCTCAGTGGGTTATTGCTCGTATTGTCTATGTGGCACGAGTATTGAGATTCTATTCTTGGCACGTGTGAACCTATATTTCAAAAATCCACGTGGTAGTTCATCGATATTTCTATCGTAAAGCGTTCAGGTAAAATTTGTTTGCTCCAACAAACCAATAGAACAATAGCAGTGCTGCTTAACTTACTCACTTATTTACTCACTTTACTTACTTCTGTAATGGATTTCTAACAAATTTTTTATATTTATTTATTTATTTAAATATTTATTTAAATAATTAGTTAAAAGTTCGTTTAATGATTTTCCTTATAATCGAGCGATGAAAATTAAAATTCCCATTTTAATTTTGTTCCCTACGAAATTTTGATTAGCGAGCCGAAATCGGCATATAAAATTTTATAACTAAGACGCTATGTATAGTATAAATTATTATCTCTAATGCTGTATAGAAAGAATTAATAAATTAATTAATATTTATATTAAAATTTTTATACTAAATTTTCATTTAATCTATTAATCTAAACAAAAAAAAATTAGCATTTTTATCCTAAAATACATACCTTATAATTTTCTTATAAACTCATCAGACCAGTTTATTAAAAATAATAATTATTATTATCGAATTTATCAAAATATGTGTCATATGCTGTTGAAAATCTTCCAAGAAACAAGTTTTAATTAAATTCTTTCATTTTCATTTTAACTTATTTTAGCATAAAGACAATGTATATTGCTTTAATGCTTTATTATTATTAATATTTCATTAATATTTGTATTTTTCTTAAAAAAAAAAAGAATTTATAGTGAAAAATTTTGAAAATTTCAAAAATTTTATTTATTTGCTAAAATTAAATTTTAATAAATCAAATTTTTTATTTTATAATTTTAATTTTCGCTTTTTTATTTTATTTTAAATTATTTTTTTAAATTTCAAATGAAATTTTTTTTTATTTCTTTTAAGTTTTCTAATTTTTTTTGATAGAAAAATGGTTAAAATGGTTGAATGCAAAAGATAAAATTTTTTTCTAGCAGAAATCGTTTAAAAATTTAATCAATGTGCATAATATTAACATTGATTTCCATTTAAAGATCTATGAAAATTTGAATTCTCTTTAAAAGCTAATTTTTAAATAATTTTTTAAATTTTATGCTTATTTATTACTTGTTAATAACTCTTAATTTATATTATTTATTTATTTATATTTATTTTTCTAAGAAAAAATTGTTTGCTTTAAGTTTTTTCTTTAAATTGATAAAAACGTTTTATTTATTGATAATTATTATATTTTCAATCAATTCTGATTAAGAGTTACGATTTCAAATATTTCTTTTTGAGAAATATTCTCTTATTTTTCTATTTTTGGTGAAAAATATTATAGACAAAATTATATTCATTATATCGAATCATTTTGTATTGCCTTTGATTTTGAATCATAATTTCAAATTCTTAAAAATTATAAATTTTACTCAATGTTATCATTTTGCCTCAATATTTGTTAATTGAAATAATTATCAGATAATCAGAGGAATCCATCCCGGATTTCCTATTTATAACTGATATGATATGACAATTTATGATTATATTAATTAGTGAAAATATATGAGGATATATGAATTGGATATGACAGCATTTCATGCATGCATTTTCAAATTCGAACCATTATCTTTTAATAATTAGTATAAACTTCATAAAAATCGATGCATTTCGAAATAATTCTTGTTTAATCAAGTTGGATTATGCATTTTGATTATATCATATGGATCATCTATCTTATCAGATCAATTTTTATCATTTAAATACATCTCTTAGGACTTATAATACTAACTGAAATTGATTATTGTACTTTCACTATGTAAAACAAAAATTTTATTTTTATTTAATTAATATCTTGAGGCAAAAATAATTTCATAATTTAAGAAATTGAAAAAAAAATGCCTAAAGAAGAAATAATGTAAAAGAGCAAAATGAAATAAAAATATTTATGATTCCTAAAAAAAAAGAAAAAATTTTTATTTTTCAAGAAAAAAATTGTTTTGCCGCTGAAAATTTGTTTCAATTTTTTTTATAAATGAAACTTTAGAAGATCAATTTCGTAAAGCGAAAAAGAAACAACTTTGAAAAATTTTTCGTTTCTAAAAAACCAAATAGTAATGAGGAAAATTATAGAAGCAATTAAAGAATTTTTAAAAAAGAAAAAAACCATATACAAATCTAAGAATGGAAAATGAAACAACGAAGTTGAAAAATAAAAATAAAATATTTGATTCATATTATTTCTACATAACCTAGGAAAAATAGAAAATTTAAACAATATGTAGTAGAACGGACGAATTCAACTTTCTCCTTTATCTAATCAACTTTATCAAATCAGTTATTTCAAAATTTACTATAGTAATTTGATCGTTTCATTATCATTATCGATCTAAAGAGTTTTAGTTATCAATTGATCATTTATCTTATCCATTTATCAACGATGTTTTGCTTTATTTCACGTACTTTAGTCCACACTTGCTTTCATCACAATACGGCGATATATTTGAAAAAAAAAATTTTTTTTTTCAATTTTTCTATTCGATTTTATCAGCTTTTGCTAACAAATATTTGAATTCTAGACTGATAAAATTATCGACGAAAATTGATGAAAATTATTAAAATTTTAAAATAGAGATTAAAATTGAGCTTAGAATTTACTACAAATTTTAATTTTAAATGTCTTTATGATAAAATTAAAAAAATAAGTGCAGATATTAAAATTTTTTTTAAAATTTTGCTATCCATAAATTTTTTCTTACAACAGAGAACGATTTTACTTTAGAAAAGCAACTAAAAGTATTATTTTTGAAAATTTTTCTTAAATTGTTTTCACAAAAAAAAGATGAACATAAATTCCATTTTTTAAGATTTTTTTTACCACATTTATTAAAAATTTAAAAATTTCCAGCACATTTCAAAATATTTGCATATTACATATTATAATTACCACGTATACCATGCTTAAAATTTCATAAATATTATAAATTTTTATAAAATTATTTATTATTCTATAATATTCAAAAACTTGTTGTATCATTTATTTGCTGCGGCTTTTTTCTTAATAATTTTAAATTTTTTTAATATTAAATAATTAATGTAAGGAATTTTGCCAATAGAACTTTATTTGCTATTTATTAGAATATGCCATTTTAACGTAATTCACCTGGTTTGTTTCTTCTTCTTTCTTCTTCTTTTAGTCGAAATCATCATTTCTAATTCGGTTTCACTTATCGCGAAGATGGGATCATTTCGGCAGAGAGCCACTTGGATACATAGAAATATAAGTAGATTTTCCTGAAAATCACTAAAATCACCTATTTTGTAGGATTTAATCACTGAGCAGAAATTGAACCTATAATCGCCTTGTTAAATTGAAGCAACTGATTTGGTCACATCAACTTATATTTCACTATAATATTTCAATAATATTTAAAAAAATAAAAAATAAAACAGTTTAAATCTTTTATTTTTGCCCTTCTTTTTTTGTAAAATTGATTTTTAAAGCATTTTATGATATTTTGTATTTTCATTCAATTGAACATTTTAATAAATTTTATTATTGTATTTTTTCTTTTTTTTCATTTAGTCATTTAAATAATCTTAGATCTCGAATTGGGACAGAACGAATGGACGAGGGAAAAGGAGGGAGAAGGATAGGGAGGAGGGGAGGGGGGGATGATAAGGCGAAAAATGTTGAGAGTTTTCTAAATAATTTATTGGATTTGCAGCCTTAATTCCCTAATATTCAACCTCGACTTCACTACTTAGAATTTCTCACATAATTTCGCTCATATTTGCATATTGCAAATTGTATGCACATATTTCGTAATTTGTAAGAATACAAAAAGTTTTTTTTTAGTAATAAAAATTCTTTAGAACTTTTTTATTCGTGTTGAACTATATAGATTTGAGCATTTTAAAAAAGCATAACAAATAAAAGGTCGATCAGTCTCTCCCCTCTCTCCTTTCACCTCTCCCCTTAGTCAGCGAGGCAGTCTAACCAGTAAGAATGAGAAATGTTAGAAGAAGAAAGAGATGATTCTTAAATTTACTTATATCTTTTGCTAACTTAAAATTTTTTACCTAAGAAAATTTTTAAAACATTGATAAGAAGTCTTTTAAATAAGAAGAAATTTTTTTTTTTTTAAATAAATTATCATAAAGAAAAAAAAAGAAATAATGGAAGGAGAAATATTTGGAAGATAATTATAAATTACATGACAAGTTATGTAAATTTATAGGTAATTTTAGAAAGTGATACACAATGATTAATTTATCAATCACTAATAATTCATTTATTCAAATTTCATTAATTATTTATTAAAATTGTTTGATTTTAAAAAATGAAAATGATAAAAAGACGATCAGTCCCTCCCATCCACCTCTTAGCCAGCGTAGGCAGTCCATAATAAGAGAGAAACTTTATACGGCAAATAAGCCAATTTATTCTTACCATTAATTTATCTTATCAGTAATAGTGAAGAGAGTCGGAAATAGTGCGTAAATTTTTTAAAAAAAATTAATATATTTAATTTAATTATTTCATTAATAATTTTTATTATATTTTTTTAGATTTTGAATGATTCAAAAACGAATAAAAGAATTCTCAACGCTTATAACAATATTTGTTATTAGTTTCTTGATTATTGTGCTTATTCAAGACGATTTGACAAATTTTTTATCAAAACCAACGACTCTTTCGATCAAATTTTTTTCTGAACAAAAAACACTGTTAATCATTTACCACTTTTATAAAAAAAAATTTTTTTCAAACAATTTTTTTATAAAAATTTTAAATTAAATTAATTGTCATTTATTTATGTAATATTTTATATAATTTCTCAAAATAATTTCCGATTATTTACCAATAATAAATATTATAATTATTTCTATATTTATTTATTTGTTTATTTTTTTAAAATATTATTTATTTATTTATAATATTTATTTATTTATGATATGATTATTTATTTAAGCGATCGTTGTGAACTGCCAAAGAATAATCCATGGGATCCGAGTATAGTCAATTTTCTTCATCCAAAATATGAACAATCTAATTGCATTCTTAAACCAAGGCTAACTGAGCTTTTAAATGGTCAACTAGTTGATGTTTCTAATGAGTATGTTGTATGAGACGATTTGTTTTTATAATTTATAATTAAAATAAAAAATTGAACTTTAATTGATTTTAATTACTAATGATTATTTCTTATGTAGGACAACGGAATGCAACTATCGCTGTTTATACGTGAAAGGCGAGAAAGGCTTCAGGACTGATCCGTGGACCACAATGGCAAAAAATTTGACCTACAATGTAACATGTGATTTTGTCGAGACGCAATGTTCAGTAGATTCACATATTTTTTATCGATATATACATATACAGGTTTTCGTTAATTACTTTCTTCGGAAATTTTAAGAATTAGGAAGGCAGTACCATTCGTTATTCCTTTAAAATTAAATTGTTGTAATAGATGATGGATCACAGCTCGTAAAAAAATACTAAATACTCTGGAAGCACAAAAATTTTGTTATAAGGCAAGTATCCTTATTCATAAGGGAAGTGAAACGAAAATACAACCATAATTCTTTTTCTAAGAACATTCACCATTTCTGGTTGGGCTCGTTTTGCTGGCGTATTGGAAGAGACAAATTTTACCATGAAAATGTCACGAAATCACTTATTTAAAATATAATGATGATAGAAAGTTCTGCAGTTCCATTGGTTCTTCTAAATTAGAGCAACAACCAACTAACTCTTTCTATCCTCAGTTAATAAATCTCAACAAATCTCAATTATTTGAGGTCCTTAAATCGAAAACGAAACATTTTCAAGCGGAAGATAAATTAAACCCTAGCATACTTATGGTTATTCATGATTCGACCTCCCTTGGTTCAGGCATTAGAACTCTTGTACGAAGTAACGAAGTAATTATATATAATTTTTTTTTTTTTTTTTAAATCAATATCATAAATCTTCTACAAGTTGGCATATTTTCTCGACAATAATCAACAATAATTATTATCATTAAAAAAAAAAAATTAAGGCATGATTAATTTCATTTTTTCGTTTGATTTTTCAATTAAAGTTCCTTCCTGATCGAAGGTATTACGGCGATATTACGATGCGACGGTTTTTTACTATCATAACAAGGCTGGTATCAACAGTCGGCCAAATGCTCACGCTATGTTTACAGGTAATAAATAAGAAAGTTTATGATGCATATCCGTTATATCATTTTATCATTTATATCATTTTATCATTTTATCATTTATCATTTTTTATAATTTTTTTATCATTTATATCATTATATCATTTTTTTTCTACTTTTATTTGTATTTATAGCATATTATTTTAATAATATTACATAATATTACTTTAATAATGTTACTATTTTAATAATATTATATAATATTATTTTAATAATACTTGAAAATGAGAGTAACAATAGCGGAGAACATAGCATTTTTCTGTTTATTTCATTATAAATCTACGCTTTTTTCATATGGGAATTTTATAGCTTTCTTTTCTATATACATTTTGTTTTTTTTTTTTTTTTTGCCGAAATTGTTAATTCTAATGTGAGATTAGAAGATTAGGAATGAAACATTTCATTCTTTTTATAATCGATCCTATTATTAGGTTGGTACTACGAAAAATGAAAGTCGTCAAGATTAATCGTATTAATAAAAAAAATTCGTCCATAATCCGATAATAAACAACTAGAAAAAATTTAAAGAATAAATTTTCATAATGAAAATACAAGGCTGAGCAAATGAAATAGTTCATCTTTTTCTTAATAAATTTATAATAATATAAAAAATAAAGGAAAATCTAATAAATATTTTGAATTAAATTTATAAATTTTTCTAATTTTTGTTTTTTTCTTATTATATTCAACATATTCTATTCGATTTTAACGAATCTTCCAGTAATTATTTGATTTCAGGTAATCGAATTTACAATTTGGAAAATTTTCTTTATCGTAATGGTACACATTTAGCTGAAAATTTGAATTCTTGCACAGTAATATTTTAATAACATTAAATTTTATTGAATATTTCTATTGAAATGCATATTTCAAATTTTTCTATATTTTTCTATATTTATTACCTATATTTTAAATTATAATATTTAATATAAAGAATAGAATATTGCCACGTTCAATTTACTCTTAGAATTTATGCATATTATTCATTTTGGCGTAGCAAATATGAACTATGATATTCCTTGATGCCCATAAGTTTTCCAGGCGCATACTTTAAAGCGAATTTCCCCACAGACAAAATATATTTTCCCATATTGTAAAGTAGAATGGCTCAGTGGGTTGTTGCTAGATTCAGAGCACCGACGCCGATGCTGAGGTTCTGCTCCCTGCAAGAGTAAAGTGGTCCAAAAATCCGGATGATGCTGGCTATTCATCTGTAGTTCTCTCGCCAAAGGACTTTCTGGCATATTTGTCTAGTGCTGCAAGCCAGCGGAGCGAATTTAAGCAGTGATGGAGGCTCTTAAAAAAAAGGCATACTGTAACCTATAACCTTACAAAACAAAGACACGTAGTTAGAAATTATTCTTCAAAAGTGGTGGGATGAGGAATGGTACAACTTTGATCAACTTTTATGGGAGATATTAAGAAAGCTATAAAATTATCAGATGGACATTATGATAAATAATTTTTTTCATGGTTTTTATTAAAATAAAATAGTTTTCTTTTTTTTTTTCTTTTGAATATCGAATATTTGAATATAAAATAGAATATTTAGGTCGGTCTAAATGAAAATGAAACTGTAACATATGATTTTATACGAAAGAAATATGCGACATTTGTGGCCGATGAATGGTGTTGCGCTTTTACTTGGCCCAATTGCTATGGATATAAAAATCCTCAATTTGACCATTATGCAGCGTAAGTAATAACATTTATTTTTTGAGTGATACAATATTTTAAGATTTGAATAATGCAGTATTTATCAAAATTTACTTATCAAATTCTACATTTATTTATCAAATTTTACTTATCAATTTCGCATTCATCTTATGACTGAGTACGATGACTGAAACGTCAAATATTTTACTAATTATCTTTCATCAATGTTTAAAAATTATGCGCGGATAGACTGTGGTTGATTAGCCTAAAAATAATCAACATGAGTTCATTTTTTGTCCATTGAGCAAATTCATCATTAAATGTGAAATCTGGATCGTTGTTGATGGTCCACTTCTATTTTTATACCGAAGCGACTTCCTGCTGATAGACTATCACTCTACTACTAATAGATGAAGCCGTTCAAAAAGGAGACGGTCTTCATTGTAAGCTATTTTACTAAAATGATAAAAAAAATAGTTATTAAAATTTAAAATACATAAAAATTCTTAGATATTTTAATCATTTTATCATTTAATCAGTGATTTTATTATGAATTTTATTATTTTCATAATATTTCTTATTCTATACAAATGAATTAACTAATATTACAATTAGTTTCGAGATTTTGATAGAGAAGACTCTCGACAATCGTATTTTCTTCATTACTTGATTAGTCTATTTTAACGAACATTTTAATTTTTAGACCACTGATAGGACGAGTTGAAACAAAAAAAGTTGCAGCCGAATTTGCAAAATCATTCTTTGATAATGACTGCCAAAGTAAATATCATAAAATTATTGAATATAGCGAAAAATTTGTAAAAACTTACGATGGAGTAGCGAAATTCGTTGTTGTATGGTTTTCATTTGCTCACAACGATCTTAATTCGTTATATCCTGCAGATAAGGTGAAAGATTAATTTAATAATGGTACTCACCTAAGTAGTTCATGCGATGTAATCTACTGGAATGACGATAGCCATGATTTTTACTTAAATCTTGAATTTTATATTGAAAATATTGTCTCTTAAAAAATGACTCCGATCATATTTTAGATAGATTTGAATTTTAGATGAAAAGTTAAAAGTACCAAATAACCTAAAGAAATTTTTCTCTTTGAGTGCTCACTATTTCTGGTTATAGATTCGCTTCATTGGCTTGTCGCACCAGACAAATTTTGCCAGAGATTCATTTGGTAATAGGCAAAAGCCTGATTGAGCCATTCAATTCATTCTCTTTTCTCCTTATAGAAATAGATACTCTTAGTCAACTAAGAATACAATAGTCTTAAAGGTCTTCGATTAAACATATTGCTAATTAATGCAAATGGAATCCTTCTCACACTATTCAAATGAATTGAATCATTCTTTTTTTTTTTTGCATACCTAAAATTATTCACGTTAAGATATTCATTTTAATAAAAGAAAAAACGAATTTTTTTTCATATGAATTGCTTAAGGAAATGAATAATTTTTAGTATTTTGCGGACTTTTTCGAAAATAACATTGAACAACTTAAAGGAAGTTTCATTTTTTGGATGGCTGATCATGGCCTCAGATTTGGTGGACCTCGGCAAACAAAAGCTGGATTCATAGAGGACAATAATCCATTTTTAGCAGTATTTTTTTCAATAAAAGATTCATCAATTATCAAAAATCTCTTTTAATAAAAAAATTTTTTATTTTCTTTAAACAGTTAAGCACGTACCATTTCTGGTTTAGCTGGTTCCATTGGCTATTAAGATGATATTTCTTCGCGAGAGAATCGCTTGGACGGTAGGAATACCGGCAAGTCTCGAGCACTACGCGGAGTTCACTTCTTAAGCCAGGTTAGCTTCCTTCAAGGAATGGGGACCTATGATAGTGTCACATCACTACATTGCCAAGCCTTGTGATGGATGGCGGTAGAAAATATGAAGACCCAACCATGATTCGAAATGATACGAACCTACTACTCGACCATGATTAGTGCTCTCTATAAATAAATATAATTAGTTTATTTTGCTCTTTATTCTTGGTCAGTTTTATTTCAAATTTTTACAATGTTCATTCATTCACTTACAGATTGCCGTTCCAGAATACCTCCGAAGTAACGCACAATTACTTCTTAATATGAGAAGGAATTCGAAACGCCATACTTCACAATATGATATATTTGCAACCTTATATGATATCGCTAATGTAGCAGGCCGAAAAAATTTTAATGACTGGAGCTTTCATGATTTTAGGTTATTGTATTTTCTATTTTTGCATTTCAATTTTTTTCATGATTCTTAGTGGTCAATTTCAAATTTTAATGTTTGTGTCGATAGCCAGTTTGAAATGCCAAATTAGGTAGAGTAATTGCTCGAAATTATCACTCAAATTTTTTCTCAAAATTTTTTCCTCTTATCTCTTCTTATCACCATATCAAACTTTGATACATTCCCTTAAAATCTCTTAAATCCTACCTTATTGCCTCAATATGTCTTCTGAGCTTGTTTTCCCCCTTAGCCTTCTTTTATTCCTCGATACCGCCTTATCTTGTTCCACTTTCCAAGTTTTGCTATACTTTCCAAACGCCTCTTTCTAACCTTCAATCTTATGTTTCCCTCAGCATTCCCTAAATGATTTTATGTTAATTTTCTTATTCTTTTAAAATGTATTCTTCTTTTTCTAATTGTTATGACGGGTTTCATAATAATATATATGGCAATATCGAATTTATGCATCGACAAGATTTTTCCGATTCGTTTTGTGGCAACACTAGGCATAAGTCAGAAACATTGAGCAATGTCTGCAATAACAGGAATTTTCGCATTAATTACACTTTTTTACAGGGATGACCTGGGATTGGTAAGAGGAGGAACGCGTGCTCGAAGTTTGTTTCGACCGATTTTATATGATAGGTATATATGCATTACTCTTTGCATCGGCTTTTTCTACGCTCATTTTCGAGGAATTTAATTTAACGAATTAACTGCGACTTATTAGTAGTTAGATTATATGAAACAATTAATGATTTTCGAACACTTGGCGCTTATAGACTTATCTTAGACTTATTTGCTTCATCACTCGGCTAAGTAATGGAAATTTCTCCATGGTCAACTGGAAACCCTTTCCTCTTGAAAATTGCGAACAACCTGATATTTCTTTGCGGTAGGAGATAGCTTGTAGAGGAAATGTTATTAATTGGGGAAGGAGGGAGGGGGTGGAGGAGGGGAGAATAATTGATAGAAAAATTCCTGATCGATTTACCAGTATCGTGATTATAAAAAATAATATGCATAAATATAAATAATAATATGCAAAAATAATAAAAATAAAGTTTTATTCAATATCTGAAAAATTTTTTATTTAGTTTATTTACAGAACATGCCAAGAAATGTTTATTCCAATGGATCATTGTATCTGCTTAAACAGTTGGAGAAATTTACCAAACGACAGTAAGGAGGTTATTCATATCGCTGAGGTGTTGGTGAAGTACATTAATGATGAAGTTCGAAATGCAACTCCAACTGGATCTTGCGCACTTCTCAAATTTCAGAAGGTCATAGAAGAAGATTTTCTAATTAAACATTTCTCTAGACAGGCCAAGCGAATGTAAATTGTAGATTCTGATAATATCTCGATCGGTAAATGTCTAGAATTTCATATCACAGATAATTATTAATGATAGTTAATGATTAATAATTGTCAATGATAATCAGTGATAATGATAATTGCTAGAGGTACATGCTTGATTAAAAATATTTTTTTTCATATCAGTATTAAAAGTGATATGAATTCAAGGTAGATAAAGCTGAAATTTTCGAGGAGCATTCGATAACCCGAATCGCTGTCATAGCTTCACCAAGTTATGGCAAATACCAAGCGATTGTGAAAGACAAAGGCGATGGCGATCTAGAAGTTGTTTCAACAGTAAATGAAAATTTTTGATTATTATTAAAAATAGAATAATGCTAATAAGGCAGTGGCCCCCAGGACATGCTAGAATCATTTATAAAAATATTCAAAATATTATTTTCAACTAAAATATTTAAAGATTCACTGAACGATATCCAATACTAGAATGTCTAGCTCTAGCTTTTAATTAATTATTATATTTCTACTTTTAAAATTTCACTGTTTTCATATATTTTTAAAAATTTAGCTTTAAAATTTGTAAAATTATTATATTTATAAAATCTCTAATCTTTTAGATAAGCCGATTGGACTCATATGGTAATCAGGGTCAATGCCAGAAGGGTGAAAAAATAAGGCCTTTATGTTATTGCACGAATACAAATCTTACGAACAGCAAAAAATTAATACAAAAATAATATGTTATTGTTCGAGACAAGCATCATGGCAGTAAAATGGCCAGAGCAATGATTTATGATATGATATGATTTGAAAGAGTAACATTTTAATAACTTCTGAAAGAATAACACGAATGATATAAAGTAAAATGGCTGCGAAGCCTTTTTTATTGGCCCGGTGCATTTTTCATTTAATTTTATATCTTAATTTGAATAGGACCTATTTTATAGGTACCACTATTCTGTGCCACTATTTTGTATCTCATATTTATTTGTTCTCATTTACCATATTAATTATTATTGTTGTATATTTATTTTAATATTTTCTGTTAATAAATAATAAATAAATAAGGATAATAAATAATTAATAATTATTAATAATTATTATTGTTTTAAATAATTTCCAAGTTAGTTTAGATAAGAAATATGAGCTTAGAGCAGCAGAGGGAAAGAGGTGATTTCAATTAATTCCAAATACGATATAGGAAGTTTGGAAAAGCGCCTTAGTATCCATTGGAATCATTTAATAGCCAAACCAGAAGTGGTGCGTTCTGTTGGAAGAATTTAATAGAGTATGGCTTATTATAAGTGAACAGTCAAATTAAAGTGAACAAATAAAAACATGTGATAATCATTTATGATTATAAAATTTATGTAGTCATTGAATGGAGCAATAAATAGAGCAAACTTGTAAAAAAGTTTTTTATTGAAAATACTGGTGATCAGATAGCTGATAGCTATTGAATTTACTGATATTGAATTTACTGCACTAGAATATAATGTCATAGTATTCGATGATTACATAAGGATTAGCAGGATAGTATGCCCTCTGGCGCTTAATCCTGGGATGGATTTATCATCGCTATAAGTAATTTAAAATAGCAAAAAATATTATTTATTCATTTTCGTTGTAAGCCTTGAACGGCGAATATTTTTTGGCTGAAAATATTTTTTGCGTAGACAGATGAAAATTTCGCTTCATTTCAACTTTAAACTTTATTCGTTTCATAACAAAAAGTGGCTAAACATAAATCAAAAAGTCGCATCGATTTTAAAGTTTGTAGCACAATGTAGCTTTATAGCTTTGGTTCTGGTTCCTTGATGAGGATTCTATAGTTGATTTTAGTGTTATGCATTCATCTATACTTTAGTATTAAAAGAATAGTTTTAGTTAAAAGATTTATCTTTGTAGCAGTGATAAAAAAAACCTAAGGGAATTCTTTTAAAAGGACTTATGCTTGTAGCAATGATAAAAATCCTGAATTGTAGCATTTGATAAAATTTTGTAGTAAATTTTTTGCATGATTCCAATTATGAAAAATCTTTTTTTGTCTTTTTTTAACATAATCCTATTCGTTTAAAATTCGGTTAAGTATTTTTTATATAATTGTTTCCAATCGTTTCATTATTTTAATCAAGTAAACTAATTGCATCAATTTATTTTTATGAATCATATTATCTTGACAAACATTTATTATTAGGTCAACGTCTAAGTTAGCTTAGCTTGCTAACTTGATTTGACCTAGTTAGTAAACAGTTATCGCGATTCGTTCGATGTATTTGTTGTAGGCAAACTAGTAGGCTTTCGTCTCGTAAAAAAAAAAAAAAAAAAAAAAATTTTTCATTGAATTTATTATTGATAATATCAAGCTCAAATACAATCAAAAAAGAAATTTTAAAGTTTTTAAAGATATTTTTCATTTTTTTTTTTTATTTCTATATCAAATTCAAAGTATTTAAGTCGATTTTAATGTTATTATTGTTCACTTAAAAATTGCCATGAAACTGTGTTTAATTTGAACTGATTGTAGTTTTCTTGAAGAAATCTTATACAATTTTAAAATTTCGAGAATAAGGTTGGTTCTCTCGTTTATAGGGATTTGGCATACATTAATTTAGTTATTTTAATCAGTTGAGAGTATTAAGTAGAAATAGCTTGATTTGATTTGATTTCTTGAGATGAGTTATAAAAATGCGGATTTTCTAACTCATATCTTCTCTCTCTGCTTTTTTTTCCACCTTCTAAGTGCATCAGCTTTTTGTCATTTCTGAAATTCAAAATTCCAATATTAAACTAACGCTATCTAAATTGCTAAATTCTTAAATTCTTTAAAAATACTCATTTTTTCAAAATATTTCAAATATATTCTAAAATTCAAATATATTTTGCAGATTAAATAACTCATAATTCTTATCAGAATCATACAACGATTAAAAATTTTTTTCTTATTTTTATGCAAAAATTCTTTAAAAAAAATAATTTTTTTTGTATATAAATAATTTTGCACGAAATAATGAGAAAAATATGGAAAATAATTTAAAGTGCAACAATAGCAATAATACAATAAATAAACATACAAAATGCTGAAATTCAATGAATTTTTTCGCTAAACAAAAAATCATTTTGTGATAATGAATTGAAAAAAACAAAACAGTTTAATTCCTAAAATTAAGGATAGCGATTAAGACAAACAAAAAAATGGATCAGATACGTCGAGTAGAAAACAAATAAAAATTTTTCGAATAGATATATAGAAAATGCTTTAATACTTTTAAACTTACCACCACTTATCACATTCTTTATCGAAAAAAAATATTTTTAATTTAGAATAGCAAATTAGCAATTCGTTAATGACTTAGAGGCCTTTTTTTATTTTAGAGGCAATTAAAAGCCTTAAAGCTTAGGCTTATATGTATCGCGTGTAGTGATATGCCTTATAAGCGTAAAATACGCAAAACAGACGTGACTGTTAAAATCACTGCTACATTGTTAAGATTACTGTGGTTAAAAATATTCTCATACTCTCTCATATATTGTAAATCTAATGAATTTAAAAGATTTCCGAAGATTTGAAGAGAAAATTTATCCGATTTTCAATTATTCTTTTTAAACATTTCTAGTATTTTCCGTTGTGATTGGCCAGTGGCAACCCAAAAATGATTGACTTGTGAGTGACACGCTACAAGCGTAGAAGAAATGCTTCCAACAATACAATCGCGTAAATCTTATTTAGAGTCTCGTTTTCGAGCAATTTTCAAAAAAATTTTCAACAATTACTTGAGTAAATAATTTTTTTCCATAAAATCGCAGAAATTTTCAGCATTTTTTTTTTAGATGCTAAAATAATTGTAGGCACCTTTTTAATCACTTTCGATTTATTCCGATCCATTTCGTTTATAGCACTTTATCTTATCATATATTTCATCTCTTCATTTCTCTCCCCGTCATTCCTTGAACCACCATAACCTTTCTGTATTACAATAGTTTACTTACAAATTGGTGATTGTTCGTGAATTTTGTTTATTGTTCGATTAAATTTTTAGATAAGATATATTTACCGATGAAAATTTATTTGCTTCTGTCATATATTTACTCATAGATTTTCGCCTTCATTGTTATCGATCACAAAATAAAATTTTTTCAACACATTCAGTTTTATCGTAAATTTTTGCCAAAATTGTCTTATTAAATTGATTTATAGCTATATGCAATGATCGGATTTATTATACATAAATAAATAGGCAAATTCAGTCGATAGTGATTTCAACTGCTGCAATTTGTAGATTTCTCGCAGAATGCAATTTTAACTGATAAGTGATAATGCTAGAAATTTTCGAGAAAAGAATATTGAATCACACTACGACAGATATCCGAATTAATTTTTCCCATTATTTTAAAAAATGGTAATTTCTTATATTTCGAGAAACACAAATTTTTTTATTTAAAATATAAAATGATTTATTCAAATTTATATTTTTTGGATTTAAAATTATAAAACGAACTATTGCTTGTCGTATCTCTTCCTTCCGAAAACTTTAAAACATCAAAATTGAACTCCTCTTGCATTTCTAAAACATTATTCAACATGTCTGGCTTGATTAGCTCCGTTTGCTATGAAGTGAGAGATGAAATTGCCGTCGGAGAGGATATTTGCAGACAAAACTATACGTGGCAAGTAGTGACTCGCATTTTATGCTTAATGGCTGATATATTTTTATCATAGAGCCTGGATTGAGTGAAATTAAAAAATTTAGATTTAATATTTTATGAAATATTTTTTAATGTTCTATTTCAAGATTGAAGACTAAACTGCTTATTCTTTCTTTTTTTTTTCTAAATTTTATCAATTTAAAATTCTTTTTCATAAAGAATTTTGTATACCTAAGTGTCTGTTCAAATATTTCGGCTATCACGAACTTAAAGCTTACGTTTACGCTTCAAAAATAAATGTGCAAAATCATCAATTTCTTAAATTTAATTACGAAAAAATAATGCAATTGAAAAAAATATTTTGAAAAATATTTTTCGAAATTAACTATTCGATAATAAAAAATTAATACTTAATTGGCTATTATATTATGCAATAACATTAAGAAATGAGCTTCCAGTTGATCGACGCCGTAAGCGTTTTTGTGCTATTTTTTTCTCATTAAATGCACATATATTTTCTTTTTCATCAAAAAATTGCCAAGCGGCACTTCTAAAATGCAATTAGTAAAATTCATAAATTTTATAGCCCGGTAAAATTTTTTTTTCTAAAAGCATTCACTATTTCTGGCTAGGCTCGTTAACTTGTTGGAGTAGGCATAAGTCTTGCCAGGGAGTCCATTTAGTAATCGAAATATATAGGCCCATATAATTTATAAAAAAATTTGTGACATACCGATAAACTTTTATGTGAATAGTTGATTGAATTTTTTGGTAATCGAAATGGCGATTGAATAACGAACGATACCAGAATTCTTCTTTCGTTTCGGGCGTTTTGACGGGAAAAATAAGTTTCCTTATTGCGAATTTTTCATCCGAGATTAACGATTTTGCATAATTATTAATAATGTCGCCAAGATCATAATTTCCTAAAGATTTTTCATATTCTATATATTATGCTTCTTCAACAAATATTTCATTTTAAATAAAAAATTAGAATAAAATATATACTAATATAATATATACTAATATATAAATATATATAATTTTTTTTTTGTTGGCTAATAATAAAAATACCTAAAGCTTCTGAAAATCCTTGTTTGCTTCGCCATAAAACGTCGTGAGGCAACCAACCATCGAAAGCATTTCTCAAAATATATTTTTCCAGCTTATCTGGAAACAATTTGAGAGAAGAGGGCAGTCGAATAACGAGATCGATGAATTTCTTGTCGAGAAATGGTACTCTTATCTCAAGTCCATGACATGATGTGGCTCGATCACAACGAAGCACATCGTAATGATGAAGAAGCGTAAGTCGACGCAATATTTCACCATGTAAGAATGCTGCTGATGGTGCTTTCTGCATATATGCGTATGAACCGAATAATTCATCAGCACCCTCACCTGTTGATTATAACCATCAAATTTTTTTTTTATAATAATAATAAAAAAATGTTAATAAATGAATATTTCCTACCAAATTGCTAGCGGAAATAATCGAACCAAAATTTAGCGTATTATTATCGAAAAATAAAATTAAGCAAAAAAATTCGTATGAACTGCTAAATTAAAGGCCTACTTCCAGTCTATTTTTCTCTTACATTTTATACGCATCGAAATTTATATTTTAGAAAAAACTTATTAAAAAAAAAAGAAATCTGAGATCTTTGATTTCTTACAACTAATTTATATGAAAAAAAAGGAAATCTATAAGTGTTTCGAAAAAAAAAGAGAATAACCGGAAAGTAAGACTTTAACATCAGACGATTCAGCAATGTATTTGCATAGGAGATAATGTGCAATACCACAACGAACAACCAATGGATCAAATGTCTCTAATGCGTAGATAACTTCTAAAATTTTTGTCATATTTTCTTTTTCTTTTTTTTTTTTATCATTAATTATTATTATTTGTTATTTTACTTGTTGTTATTAATATAAGCACATGGCGTTTGTCGCCCTATTTGGCTGGTTTTCAATAAATAAATAAATAAATAAAATTCATTATATGAAAACTACAGAAAAAAAAAAAAGCTGCATGAAATCCTTTATAAAAATAATTATGCATGTAACGTATATCAATAGTCGAATTATTTTCTTCAACATCAACTACAAAACTATAAAGAAATGAGATTAAATTAATAAAAATAATAATATACCAGGAATAACTTTTATGCATTGTTCAGGAGTTATTATAAGAATATGATGTTTAATGCCAAGAAATTTTGCAACACTTTTAGCATTTTCAATATCGGGCGAATTTTCGAAACCAACACTAAATGCAACAGGTGGCTTCAATTTTAGTAATTTACATGAGATTGCAGCAATTAATGAGCTATCCAAACCACCACTTAACATAAATCCGAATTGACGATCACCCATTAAACGCTTTTTTACAGCTAATATTAATGTTTGACGAATTAATGTCTGAAAATTTTAGATTCTTTTTATTAACAAATATTAGTAAATATTATTAATAAATAAAAAAATATTAATAAATAAATATAAAAATATTTATTAATAAATAAATATAATAGATTCTGCAAATAGTTATTTGACTAAAAAAAAAGAAAAAACAATAATTTGAATAAAAGAAATCGAATTATTCATTTCTATTCGATTTTCCATATTTATGTCGTATTATCAATCATAAAATAAATAAAATAATTTTAATTAAAGCAAAACAAAAAATCTTTTGAAAAGAATGAAATATCGAAATATGAAGAAAATTTTATAGCGAAAATTTGCATATATATATTTTTATAGAAAACCATTCAAGATAACAAAATTTAACAAAGAATGATAACCATATGTTAATACTAGAAAAATTTTTATCAAATTCTCTCTCGTTATATTAAAGCTTTTAAACATCTGCTAATATTAAAAATTCAAAAATTAATAGAATAGATAAATCCGTTTTTTTTTTCTTTTTTTAGCATATGAATGAATTATTGCGAGAATTATTGTTGCTCATCGCCTATTTCCGAAAAATTCTTTTTATATCTTTATTTAATCACTAATCGAAATAATAGATTTGAGATGATTAAAGCTAAGATTAAAAGAAAATAGATGAAATATCGAAAAAAAAAGATACCTGAATATTTTCCATCGAAATAAATCTATCAGCTATAGTAGGTATCACATAATATTGAACTATGCTTATAAGTTGAGTAGGTAAATTAATGGGAATAGTAGCACAACAGCCAGGTGGAAATATGTGTACTGATTCACAAAGTTGTTCAATACACTTCATTTCTGAACCGAACAACAATTCTCCTAAAAAAAAAAATTGCGTTCATTAGTGCGGATAAATTTTTTTTTAGTGGGAAACATGGCGAAGGAGAGGAAAATTATGAATCATTTAGATATGGAAAGTGTAAATCCATAATTTTCAAACAAAAACCTAAGAAATTCCAAAAACGAACCTTTATCCGTAAATCCGTAAAAAAGAGGTCTAACTCCAATCGGATCGCGCCCTACGTAAATATTATTCTCATCAACCATTGCAAATGCAAATACTCCATCAATAGATGCACAAGTCTTACGTAAATCACCGTTAAGCATTACAAAGCTATGAATTATTGCTGCACAGTCTGAAGTGTTGTTGACTATCTTATGGAGTCCGCTTCGAGCCTTCAGATCTTTATGATTATAAAGTTCACCATTGCAAACTACTGATAGATTTTTATAAACGATAGGTTGTTGACTTGTTTCATTGCCAGGCTAAATTTTCGTCTTTAGTATCATTAATATCTATTAATTTTTAGAATTTCCCTTAGTATTTACGATTGGTACTCTGTTGTTCTTGAGAATTCTAGAGAATATCTTTTTAAAAGAACTACAAGAATTTTTGAGTTTTCTAATAAAATATTATAAAATTAATAATTGTGAAAAGTTATTCTCCCTTGAGGAAAAAATTTACAAAAGATCTCTATTTGCGAAGAACAGCAACAAGCAAAAAGTAACTGAAAAAAATTATTCGTCATTTCTTTGCACAATTGCACAATTGCTTTAGACGATTTAGTGAATTATTCTGCTATAATTCTCTTGAAAGATATAATATGAACTTGCATATAATAGGATTTAAAATATTTATGAATATACGAAATATTTTTAAAGAACTTACCTGAACTATAGCAAGGCGATGAAATCCTAGCCAAACATTAGGCTGAACATTTTCTATAATTGTTAAATCTGGTCCGCGACCTGCGATTTTAAGAAACTCTTTGTTATGAGCGAAGTCATAATCATAACCAAGAAATGCCCAAATACCACACATGATGAAAGAGGAATGAAAACTGCTATATGGGTAAAGCTTTTTGGAACAAAATTTATACAGTTTACTTGAAACTAGTTATAAGAAATGTACCGCCTTCTAAATAGAGACCACTCTACCAGTGCGGTGTGGTCTAATTGTTGATACTTGGCAAAAGGGAGCAAAAGAAAAGTGTTTAAGTTTTTCGATGAAGGGCGGAGTACTATTAAAAGAAAGGCAGAGTGAATCTAAAATATTCTAATTGTACATCTATGATTACAACGTCAATATGAATTACAAAGGTTCTTTTTTTTCTCATTTTATCCAATGTCCAGTAACAATCCAGAAATCCCATAAATAACTAGAAACACGTTTTAAGTGTTTTCCTTCAAATCATTGTTTTCCCATGTTTCACTTAAAAGATGGACAAGAACTAGTTCTGGATGAGATGAAATCCAACAAAAGCATATTTGATCAACTCTTGGCAACTGGTAATTCAGTGTCCATTGTAATCACCTAACCAAAGCTTTTTTGGAACAAGCTTTTGTAAAAAATTTTCTACTTAAGTAACAACAATTCAATTGCTTTCATTTATTCCTATAATAACACAACGTATATCAACTTATATCAAAATAATTTTTCTTATCAACTCCGTTTTCAGAAATCTTCCTCGTTTTTTTTTTAATTAGAAATGAATGAGAATGAGTGATAAGAGTAATAAGAGTGATATGATTAAAGTTTTTGGTATTTGTTTCATTACACTTTGATTTTTATAATTATTGAGTATAAATATCTATATTATTTTACGTCAAACTTGTTGTAAAATTCTTTTATTCGTAAGCTAATTCGTTATTATATTTGCCTTATTTCGATTACAAAATCTTCGTGAGTTGTGGAACTCTCATAATGGTTCATCGTCAAACCCAAAGTTCATTAGGAAATAGAATGATCGAGGATAATATTGGCTAGCGTAAAATTATGAATGGAAATGGCAAAATTAAATTTTACGATCCGATCCCATCAACTAATTATATTTAATATTACTATTTAAGAGAGGCTTCCAATTAAAATATTTGGCCATCTATAAAAAAAAAAAAAAAAAAACAGACAAGTTATTTGCTTAAGTTATGCCTCATAACTGTTTTCTTTGACACTTTTTTTTAAATCGCTACTTGTATTCGTAAATTGCAAGTCAAACAATCATAACGCTTTATTCTTCAGTGGAATTTCTTCATAAGTTTCATATTAAATGTTAAGCGAAATATTTATTTGAATAGGAAAACGGTAACCGATAGGCTTGGCTATGAAAAAATGGCCATAAAAGATATATTAATTATGAGTTAATTTGATGTTTATAATTTAAATTTGAAATTAATTTTAAGACGATCAAATAATAATAAAAATTTATGAATAGATTTGGACTTTTTGTTCATTTTTTTTTTCGATGGATTGAATAAAAATTATCGAAAAAGAAATTTTTTTTGGAAAATTTAAAGTTAGTAAAAATATTTTTCAAAATCCTAAGATCATGAGGTAATAAAATCGCTACTTACTATTTGTTTTATCTTTATTTAGAGGAAAAAAATATCGAATAAGTTATATCATACAAATGCATGAATAACAAATGCAAGAAAATATAGAAAAAAATTATTATAGAAAAAAAATTGATGAAAAATTAGTAGCAAAAAAAAAAAAAAACTGAAAATATTATACTAGCGAAGACGAGTTGAAGCCAAGTATCATAAAATAAATATTTTTATAAAATTATAAAATTATATTGGATCTATTTTTAGATTATATTATAGTCAAAATGACTTCAACCGATTCCGACATTCGCTCTTCACCTGAAATATTATATCGTTGGTTTCCATCAAGTCGTTTTCTTACTGCTTCATTGTTGTGCATTTGTTACGCAAGGTTTTTTTTTTTGAATATATAATTTATGTGGCCTCTCTGCAATTTAGATTTTAGAAAATCACTTTTTCCTCTACCAATATGGTTTAATAAACAATCTATAATCAATAAAAGAAAATTGATATACGTCCTAGCTTTTGCCATTTGTTTTAGGTTTTACTTTTACTCAATAAGAAATGCCCTACCCGAAATGAAAAATTTTGTAAAATAATTCAAGCTTAGCCCATAGATATAATATAAATATTTTTATTACATTCTTTAAATTAATGGTTATAAATAATTTTAACTGATTCTCAATAACTTGATAAACGAATGATATGATCGCTTTTTCTTCGTATTTGAGATAAAAGAAAATAGAGAAAAGAAAAATCCATATCGTATTTAGGATAAATAAAAATGGAATATGGAAAATAGAAAAAATTGAATTTCATTTTTTTTACATTACAGTATACATATGATGAATAGTAATATGGGAATGGCGATCATATGTATGGTAAATTCAACCGAATATGATGATAACTCTGAAAATATACTTGCAAATATGCCTATGCCTATTATTTTATTATCGAATAATTCAATATTTGATGGGAATAATACAAAAGTTTATACAATACCAAATTTAATAGGCGCACCGAAGGTTAATTGGTCATCAGAAGAACAAGGATATGTTTTTGGTGCATTCAATATTGGCTTACTATCAATGTTAATTATCGGTCTAATAGCTGATAAAATTAATGCAAAGTATATGATTATTGCGGCTATGCTTATTGCTAGTGTTGCAAATTTTCTAATCGGCTTTGCATCATCATTAAGGTATTCTTGAGATACTATGCAATTCTCATTTTACTTTAGTAGTTACACATTTGCAAATTGTTATTTATTATTTTGCTTAATTATAGGTGGAATTATTTTAATTATTTAATTTAAAATCCTTTTATTTCGAGAATATTCTACCTAATAGCGATTAAAAGTTATGCGTTTATAAAAATAACAATAAACAATAATAATAATAACAATAATAATGGCTTAGATAGAGTTTCATTGTAATATAAAATGAAAATTTTAAATGAAAAATGAAAATTTATGCAAAACAAAAAGTTAATTTTTATGCAAATAATAACAGAAAAACATATTCATGAAAAACAATAAGAAAAAATTAATAATTATTATAAGTGACTAAATAATAATTAAAAAGTTAAAATAATAATAATGATATTATCAAAATTTTTTACTTTTTCGAGATCCAATAACACTCGGCTGAGTAAACTCATTTTACTTCCGGTGGAAATGCCTTTTTGAGATCGCTTTCGCTGGAATCACATCAGTTTATTAGTCGTTTAATTTGGAGCAAGATAAAATATAAAATAAAAATAAATTTATAATATAAATATATCATCGCCGATTTAAGCAAAGAGGCTTTATCCGGCATGAATCACAGCACTGATTATAGCATTACGAAAAATAAGGATTCAGACGAGAGTTTGCATGGCGTAAGACGCCGACTCGCATATAAACGTAAATCATATGGTTGTTCATATGGTTGAAAGATTGATTTTCTCTGAACTATTTGAGATAAGTCAATCTTTTAGTACGATTACAACATCTTTAACAATTTACAATTCTTTCACCGGAAATGGGACCTTTAAAAAATAATGATAAGATTAATATCAATAAATGACCATTAGTACCATTAATGTTTACTTCTACCACAACCGGTTTGTCATGGGAAATGAAAAATGATTAAGTTTGGAATTATTTGGAATTATTCTTAAAATTACTCATTGAAATTATCGTTCCTTTCCGTTCCGTAAGGTCAATTCACCTTACAATGTTTTTTCTATGCAAATTAAGTTGAATAAAGAGAATAATTTGAAAACTTTTGTAGTGTCAGAAATGATTTTATTCTTCTTGAAAAAATTGTTGAAGGTAAGTAAAGAGTAATGCTGAAATTCTACTCACGGTAGAAACAAATCAACCTTTCGAATGATGCTGACGATTCACTTGTACTCGCATCGTTCTCTGGCAAAATTTACCTTAGTCCAATGAAGCCAGCGATACGAGCCCAATCAGAAATTCGTATATAGAAAAAAGAATATAATGAATTTTAGGTCCTGAAATAACGCTAAGCATCGATTATAGTATTGAATTTCAGCGTTAATATTGCCATTGGTGGAAGATTATTGGTCGGAGTTTCAGATGCACTTTTACAGCCGGCTGCTAATTCGTTATTAACTCGCTGGTTTCCTCCATCTGAAAGGAGTTATGCTTTAGGATTAGCAACAGGAGGCCGACAAATCGGTATGAGTATAGTCCATTCATATTATTTCACGACTGAAAGCATTTACAAATCTTTAAAAATCGTTAAAAGAGTCCACATATACTATTTACAATCATTTGGTAGTAATGAAGATGGGGAAGGAAATAGAGCATAAACCCAATTTATTAAGGCATCTCTTTTGACTAAGCCCCATTCATTTAGGCCCTAATAAGATCGACAAAATGTTTTAATGAGGCAATACAAAAATTTTACCGTTAAACCACAATCTGTCCCCAAAACAATGAAGAACATATCTGAAGGATTTGAAAGAAAAACCGCCGCATAACCTAATTAACAGCTTTCTATGCCTCAATTGTTGTGCATTTTTGAAATACGAAGTTTACGACTAGTGAATGAAATCAATAGGCTTAAAAGTAAATAAAAATTTTCCACTAACAATATATTTTTTCAGGTTCATTAGTAATAATGCCTGTGGCCGGTACTTTATGCAATCAAAACGCATTTTTCGGTGGTTGGCCTTCAATATTTTATCTATCAGCAAGTGTTGGTCTTTTCTTCATTATTGTATTTTTGTGTATTGGAGCCGATAAACCATCGAAACAATTTCTAATAACGGATTCTGAATTACATTTTATTATGAAGTCAATCGCTTGTGAAGATGCCGGAAAGAAACGAATAGAAAGAAAAATAAAATGGCGTCCAATAATCACATCAGCACCTGTTTGGGCTGGCATTATATCGGTGGTTTGTCATGAATATCCACTAATGACAATGATTATGTTCCTTCCGAGGTACCATTTTTATGTCAAACTTTAAACAAAAGCATATTACCTTTCCAGAAATTTTTTTCCTCTTTATTTTACTCTATCCAATATTTTTTTAAATTTCCCCCTTCATTTATTTTGTTTTAATATATATATATATATATATATATTGTTTTAAAATAGTCATTCGAAGGGATTCGCTAATGGCACGAATAGCTTTTGCTATCAAATTTGGCCTAATAAATTTTTTAACATATAATTGCCATACTATTTATTACTATCATTTGTTTGTTCTTCAAAGCACCATTTCTCGTTTGGTAGTAGTAAAAGTTAAAATACATGTGGTCCTCTAGCCCCGCTCTAATTTTATTTCTGATGGATAGGTTCACTCCTCCCAAAGGCAGAGGCTGAACCACGTTTCTTAGCTTGCCTACTTCCTTTTGATTGCTTTTATCTTTTCAGTTATCTTCATGATGTTTATCACTACAAGGCCACTGAAAATGGTTTCCTTTCAGCTCTTCCAACAGCAGCCTTATGGATTAGTAAAATTGTCTCATCCTACCTCAATACATTGCTTTTGGTATTAATATTATTTAACTGCCAAAAGAATTGCTTAAATTTCTATTTTTTAACTTAAGCCATTTTTATTTAGCTAAATATATCTAAATAAATATACTAAATGTATCTAAATAAGTTGCAAAGTTCTTTAAGCTAAAAGTAATTTTTTCTAAGTTCATCAGAGACAATAAAATTTTCTACACTCATAATTGTAAAAATATAGTTATTAGAACTTAAAATTTCTACACGATTAATAATAATAATAATTAATAGCAATAATAAATAACAATAATAATAAATAATAATAATAATTATTATTATTATTACAGCAGAGAACAAATTTTCGTCGCACAACAATCAGTAAAATGCTGAATACAGTTGGTTCAGCAGGCCTATCAGTTTTCTTATATTCTGTAACCTTGCTAGATTCTAAAAATGCTTCCTTAGCCGTAGTTTTTCTCTGTATTAGTATGGCATTTACAGGTTAGTTTTAGAAGGTTCTTAAATTTAATGTTTCATTATCTCACACATATATATATATAATTGTATTTTACTTATTATTTTGTACAACATCCAGTAAAACAATTCGTGTGAATCTTTTTTTTCTTACCATATTGTGCTAATCAAATTGAATAATGACTGAAGTATGATTTAAGGTCTTCACACACCAGGATGTCAGGCTTCTTTAGTATCTATAGCTCCAGCTTATTCTGGAGCAATAACTGGACTAGCATTTTTTTTCGTTGCTATAGCTGGTATCGTGAATCCAATCATCACTAAATGGATTGTTCAAGTACATTTTAAATAGCTAATATATTTCTGAAATTCAAACTATACAAACAAACGAGCATATCATTTTCATTTTCTTTGAATAGAAATTTTCTTATGTTTTTTTTCGGTGATAAATGGTGTATTTTGTTTTTCATTAGTCAAGTACCCTATAGCTAAAAGTATCGAATTCAAATAATAAATACTCAATATAAATATTAAATATTATAAATATTAAAAAAAAAAAAAACGAAAAGGTTTCTTATAGGATGGTTCACCATTACAGTGGAATTTAATTTTTTATATTTCCACAATCATCGCATTTATCCCGGTTATAGTATTTAATATTTGGGGCTCAGCTGATGTTCAGGTGAATGATCATAACTGCTAACACAATTCCCATTAATTTTTCATTTATTTATTTTTTCATAATTTCCATATTTGCCAAATATTTTATCAGAGTCCATATTTTATTTCATATATATATACAAAAATAATCGAAAAAAACTAATATACTTTATATAATAATATACTAACATATTAATATACTTGTTGATTTTGCCGGATTTCAAGAAATTTTTATAGAGATGGGCAATTATGGACGAACGAAAAACAAAAAGTTCTTCGCAAGCAGCAAAGAATGCTGTTATTCCTGCCACAAAATAAACTGCTAAATTTTTATAAAAAAAATAATTTTTACTATAAGATTTTCGAATTTTATAAATATATGTTCTTTAAAAATTTGTTATTTTAATCTGCAAAAGAATGTTTGTTTAGTTTGCCAAAATATATTTTATATGTGAGGCATAGGCAATTTCGATAAAAAATGCTCATAGAAATAGCCAAATTATTTTAGTAATATTTAAAAAAAAAAAGCAAAATTATTAAAAAGAAATAAATTGAAATTGCCAAATAATCTGATAGGATTAACTCCCTCCATCTAAAAAATTACAAATGATTTCAGTTATTCACTGCCATGCTTAATAAATAAATAAAGTAATTTTTATTGTGTTCGACTAGTAGTATACTGTATAAAATTAGTTCAATTCATAAGACCCCTCTATAAATAAAAACAACAAAAAAGATATTATCGTTCTTTTCTTTCGCCATTTTTGTAACATTTAAAAACCAAAATGGCGAAATTCATCGAAATTGTTGAAATTAATATATTTCACGATCTACAATTTATTATATTTTCAAAGACTAGACTAACATCTGTTTTTATGGCAAAAATCTGATTATAAATTATTCTTATAATTTTACTAAAATGATCAAAATTTTATACAAATCGAAAATCGCAAAAAATTCATATTCCAATTTGTCGATGCCCGAGAATTTCCATTAAAAAATATTCCATAGCGAAATTTGCAGAAATTACAACAAATGCAACTTCAATACTCTTCCATTATGAAAATGATAAACAAATTTTATCATCAAATTGTTTCAATTTGCTATGAAAAAAAATTCTAAAAAAAAAGCATAAAATTTAATCTTTAATTTTTCAGAAAAAAACAAACAATTGAAAATTTGCAACAAAAAACTTATAAACTTTACAGAAAAAATTTTGAAAATTTAAAATTTTCAACACAATAAAATAGCAAACATAGTTGCTGCAATTGCCACGAATTTATAATATATAAATAATTTTGCTTAATGAAAAAATAAAATTTCCATAATAATACAATATAATTTCAGCTAAAAGCAATACTAACAGAAATTTCAAAAAAACTTATTTTTCTTTGCTATTTTTCTTTACTTGACTAATAAATGGAAAAAGTTCCGGTGAGTGAAATCCGAACAAGACAAGAATACACAGATGGCCGCGCGGGCAAGACGAGTGCATGAGTGCACCAACATGCTCCTCTGGGGCAAGAAGAACGTACAAAATGGCCCTCCGGACAAGACGAGAATACATAGATAGGCCATTAAGAATATTGTCTTGCATAAAAAATAATGAACATAACGCTTTTATTTTTTTCAAATGACTTCTTTTTTCCATTTATTAATAAAAAAAAAAATAGCTTAAAAAATATTTCACTTTAAATCGTTCAATGCTAAAGCATTTGATAAAAAAAGGAACAACTGAAATGAAATAAAGCAGTTCGCTTTATCCGATAGCCGTTTTGAGATCAATAATTGAAGATAAATAATAAATAAATTTCTTCCTTGGAATAGAATGCCTCAGCGGATAGATTTAAAAAAAAAAGTACAACAAGAAAATTCAATTAAAAATAATAAAATAATATCGCAATAAGTTATTAAATATCAGGTAAAACGACAGAAAAAAAAAAAAAAAAACTAAAAACAAATATAATAATAATTCAATTCAAAAAAAAAGAAACCAGTTTTTAAAAAGCAATATTATTTGATTTTATTTTTAATAATTACTCTGTATTTTTCGACATTTTATGAAATTATCTGCTCAACTGCTTAAAAAATAAATTTGAGCAATAGAATATATAATTAATCATTATTAATCAAAATATTATAATTATTATAAACAAAATAGAAAAATTTAGATTTTTTCCTCTTACAAGGAGAATTTCTATTTCAACAATTCTAATTATTAAGAATGATAAAACTAGGATGAATGAAAGATAAAATCAATATCGCTGGCAGCACCCTTATTTAAATAAATAAAAGGATAAAATATGCAAAAGATGCCAACTGAAAGAATAAAATTCAGATAAACGCAGGCGATTGAGAAGACCTGGATTATCAGCGTAAAAAATCACTACTATCACTAATCATATATAATCAATAGAATAAAACCGAAGATCTAAAAACAGCTACCGGACAGATGCATCAACAGAATTGAAATCGCCAACAGATAAGCAAGGCGATATATCATCGAAGACTTCTTCACAAGCCAACGATGGTAAAGCGTCATCATCGGGTGAATCTAATGCATCAGCACATCTAAAATACATATTTCTTTAAGCAGAAACATTATAAAAGATGGCGAAATTTTTAATGAAAGATTGATTCCCGTCAAAAAATAGGAATCGGAACCGATGCTGCTAGGCTCATGGCAATTATTCTAACTGCAATATCTTTCAGTTCACTTAAAAGAGAATTAACCAAGTGTAATATAAAGTAATTTTAGAAATTATTTCCAGTGATTATAAAACACAAATTTCAGATATTCAATCAACCGTATTTATATTTATTAATTATTATATTTATTAATTATTAATTTAAAAAAATTATCTTGTATATTCAACATCCTCGGATCTATAATGCTCTTTCTCAGATTGAGGCCGCAAACGTGTAACTGATCTGCATAATGCCACTGAACATTCGCCACCATCATCACAGTCGGGAATAGCTTTTTCTGACAGAGCACTAACGGTTCTTAGGCGTTTTTTGCTCCTATAATCTTTTTTTTCTTTAAAAGAACATGGTAAAATGATAAGGAAAGCTTAAAATTTTAGAGTTTAATAAAATGCTAAAAAAAAACTGAAAAAAAAAGCGTTGAGGAAACTTCTAAAAATGCTATGATAATATTATTGCGGAATTATTATCATTGCTATCAAAATATTATTGCGGAATTATTATCATTGCTTACTATCTTGCTATCATTGCTATCATTGCTATTCATATCAAAAAAAATATCCAGATTTTTAACGAAATGAAAAATAAAAATAGGTATACTTTACGCTTAAAAATAATTTTTTAGTCTGTTTTACAGAGCTAGGGGCAGAAACTCGTAATAGAGTAAGTGAACTGCTTTGTCGACGACATTCAACGACCGCACTATCTTTGCAATATGCATGAACAACCACTTCACAGTCTTTGCATTTGAATCCTCGAATAAAACCCCACACCTTAAGAAATATTAAATTTTAATTCAAGATACGTCATAAAACGTTGCATTGCTTATAGTAATTGAACAGTTATAGCCAAAAAATTTAGATTTTGACTATAATTTTAGACTTTAAAATTTAATTTAAAAAATCACGTCACGTCATGTAATTACGTAAATACATAAATTTATATAAGAAATTATGTAATTACTAAAAATTAATAAAATACATAAAATTTGAACAAATACACAAAATTTGAAAGAAATGTTGCTAATTATAAATTTTTATTAAAGAGAAAAATATATTGGAATATTTTAATAACTCACCAACTTGCCACAATGAGCACAAGAAATGGGAGTAAGAAAAGATGTCTCCTGGAAGTTATGCTTAAATTCACGTCGAAAATCCATTGAATGTTTATTTAATTGCATAAAATAGTCTTTCATTTCCGATTTGCTAATCTGCCCGTCCCTACAAAAAAATAATCTCATTAAATAATAAAAATAATTTCATTAATTTCATTAAATAATTTATAAATTAAATTATGAATTATTATTTTATAAATTCTTTCCTCTAAAATATTTTCTTTTAGCGCTCGCTTCTTAATAAAACTCTAAACACTGTTAAATAGATGTACGGGTAAGGGTAAGTTAAAGATATATTTATCAAGCAAGCTAAAATTTATCTTCCCGTATTCCGTGAATCTAATGGATTATAGAATTTCATTTTTGGCAAAAATTCATCACCACCTGCGAAACCTATTTATTCACAATCGTTTATATATTTTCGGATAACTAATTTATACAAATGTTGTGGCAAATTTGTTCAATAAATAATGAAGTATTTCTTTAATTATAATGGTGATGAAATTTTGAAACCTGTCAACATCAATCGTACCAAAGGGAGCAATAAATGGAAAATTGCCAGCGATCTGATGAAATTCAGTTTGAGAGATGTATCCATCCTTATCATGATCATAATGCTTAAATACAGCCTCTACCATTGCCGAAATATGTTTGTTTATATTTTCTGGATCAGGAGCTGAGCAAACTCCTGAAGCCCAATCAGCGAAAACCACCGATTTCGTTGGTCCTTGGAACTAAAATTATCATTTAAATTATCATTAAATTTCTAACTCAACAACTCAAATAATATTTATCATGACTGAGAAATTTAAATTTTTGTCGGTTGAATTTTTCTTTTTTTTTTAAATCATATAAAAATAACCAATGGCTTCTATAAAAAATACAATAACCGACAGAAACTTCATAGTATAAAATCCTAATTTTATTTTATTATAATTGCTCAATGAAAGCAAAATTTACACTAAGAAGTGTTCGAGGTTCACGTTTGAGTGATAAATGATATATATCATCTTCATCGTATCGTATATCTAATGAAACCTAAAAATAATTTCTTATCATATTATCTGTCCATATCATAAATAAATTTTATTGGTAATTCATACATATAATATGGTCGTAGAGGTGATTTTATAGGCAAATTAAAATATTTATTGACTATCTGCCGCAGGAAAAAAATTTTTTGTAAAGAATATAATATTAAAAAAAATGATTTATTTTCATAAAGAAAGAAGAAACCTTTAAAGTGTTAATGAGATCAATACTTGCGTTTGGAAAGTTATGCGGCATACGATTAAAACTAACAAAAAATGATAATAATTTAGCAAGTTTCAATATTTGATTGCATGAATATGTTCGGTACCGATCCATATTACCACCTTTGCAATGAAATGCAATCAAATCCTTTAAATGCACTCCCCTGTAATAATCATTAATTTTTATAAAATAAAATAGAGGATGATAGAGATGATAAAACAGATGATAAATGATAATTTGTTTGTGTTACATTGAAGAAAAGGAAAGCTCGGAGTGATAATTTCATAGTTAATGAATATAGTGATAATTTTATAATCACAAACCGAAATTTCATAAAATTTCATAAAACGCTTTTTCAAAAACACAAATAAAGTGCAAGAAAACTGTGCAAATAATTGTATCGAAAATGTGTTTATCTATGGTATTTTTCCTAGCTTATAATTTGAGTAAATTGTTATAAATTCAAATTTTTCCATAATATTTTTATTCATAAGTTTCAATCTTTAAAGAGAAGAAATGCCTAATATTCAATTTTTTTAGCACTTTTTATTTAGATTTTCCAGCCAAACAGTTCCATCAAATTCAGTTCAAAGAAAACGAAATTCATCATAGGTTAAAAAATAAAAAAAAAAACATTGGAACTTCCAATTATCTTACATGATGGGAACACGAAAGCTATCTGACGTATCCTTTAACACCGACCAATAATTAGCGAAATTCGATTCAGATGATAGCAATTGAGTTAGCGATGATAAATCCTTAAATTAGTGAATAATAATGGAAAATATTTAAATAATTCGAAATTTTGCACTAATAAGTTTTTCGTAGTGAAAACAATTAGGAAAAATGAGCATCAAATTATTCAATTCATCTTTATAATTTCGAAAAAAAAATTACAAAGAAATAACTAACTAACTAATGAGAAACTAAATGAACTAATAAATTTCTTTTTTTTTTTATAAATTAAAAGCTAAAGTTATTTAAATTAAAAAAAAAAAAAGAATAAAAATGACTAAAAAATATTGGAAATTAATTTAATTGAATTAAGAAAAACCTTTTTCATATCCGAAGTTAAACATGACATAGTTTTTGATAATCGAGCAATACTACTATGTGTTACACCACCAATTACTGCCATTAACGTATTGTAATTGTTTAGCAATTTTAAATACTTAAAATTAATAAATATTAAATATAAATACAGAATATTAATAATATTATTAATATTAAATATAACCTTTAACGAATCTGATCAAAATTCACCTTTTATTGGCAATTCAAGACTTAAACAAATGAATGATTTTTCCTTTAAGTATTTTTTGTAATCAGATTTTCAGTGATAACAATATAATAATATAGAAAATTATGTTGAAAATTAAAATAAATGAAATATAAAAAGGAATGAATGAAATAAGTTTTCCTAAAATTTTCTTTTTTTTAGTTATTCAAGTTCATTCGAGTGGTTATTGAGAAATTGAGGAGATCTTTTAAAAAAAAGCCTTTGGCGAAGGAATTATCCAAGGTACCTTAAAAAATCATCATCGAACCCATAAATGGTTATAATCACACTTATGAAGAAGAAACTTAAGAAACCATAACAATAATATATTTCAAGGTTCTTGAAAAAAATAAATAAAATTTTCTCCTTATTCCTTTCGTAAGAATATAAAATAAAAAAATTTTTTAGCGATTTTAGAAAGAATCACTAAGAATAATAAATAAAATTAACTGAAATATAGTAAAAATAAAGCAAACCTTTCCAACATTTATGAACTTCGTCATAATTTCAGCTCGTTCTGACGGCGATGATTTACTTAATATCATACATTGAACCCAATTCGATAAACTCTATAAAAATAAACAATTCGAATGAATGCTAGGGAATCACCTATATTTTTATGACTATGCCCAAGCCAAATTTATGCTATTTTCTATTGTGATTTTCAGATTTTCAGATTCAGGCGAGCAACAAATATAATAAAATTTTAAAAAAGAAAAAAAAATTTAGCTTAACAAAATCCAATCTGATCCAACAAAAACCCAACGCAAACCCAAACCTAATTATAAATGGTGCGAGCTTATAGAAAAAAAAATTATAAAAAAATTTCATTATTTATTGCATAAAACAATAATATAAAGGAATATTTCGCCAAAAAAAAACTAAATAATATAAATTCCTTTGATTTAAGAAAGAAAAAAAAAGGTAATATTTAATAAACTTACATTGAATATCGAAATCGACTGTTTAAGAATTGGAGTCGATGATAAATTTCCATCTTTACAGTACCTTTTTAATTCACTTATCTACAATTTCAGATATTTTTTTTTCGAACTTATAAATGGCTATTTTCAAAACAAAAAAAAACTTACTGGAATCCTATAAAGAGCCTTGTAATCAATGTGACTAAGTGATGTCGAAATATCTTCTGCGCTCCACTGCTCGAATGATAATGATATTTGGCGACCAACAGGATTTCGTAATGACGAATTTCGAAGCCAAGGATATGATGGCCTAAAATCATTTATGTAATTATTATTTATAAAAATTAAAATTAAAAAAATGAAAGCTAAAAAAAAATAGAAAGATACAAGCATGATATGTCGAGTAATTTAGCTGCATTAGGTATTCCATCAGCTAAAGCCAATTTTTGAAGATGTTCGACAAGCTTACAAACAGCAGCTTCGAAATGAGTAGGGCATGTATTCAGCCAATAACCAACGGCTCGACAAAGCGATAATTGTTGAGCTGGTTGACTTGTTAACTCCTAAAATTTAAAAATAATAAAGAAATAAATGAAAAAAAAAGTCAAAAAAATGGTTTAATTAAAATAAAAATAATAAAAAAAAAATTTTTTTTTATAAAAAATATTCTATTCAAAAATAATATTATCGATAAAAATTTTAACCTGATAGAGTGATATAAATCTTGCCATCAACTCAACACTATCAATAATCCATTCATGTGCATGAAAGAATGCTGAAGGAAATGATTCTGACTTCACATCATCATCTAAAAAATGCTGAAGGAAATGATTCTGACTTCACATCATCATCTAAAATTTCTATTAGTAAAATTTTATAATAAATAAGAATTTCCTATAAAAAAGAAAAAATAAATAAATAAAAAATATTTAAATTAAAAGAAAATAAATAAATATTCATCCTCGTAGAAATCACAATTTTTTAAATTTCTTCTTTATGATTTTTTAAATTAAAATTAAATTTCTTTTTTTTTTATTTTAATGAAAATAAATGATGGAATTTGCTGAAAATCTAAAATTATATAAAAAAAAACATACCAAATAAATTAACGCAAATTTGTATGAGTTGAGATATTTCCAACGGTGAATTATCATTAATTATGCAATTAGAGGTCATAATAAACCCACTTTATAACAAAAAAATTATCCTTTAATCTCATTGATCTAAAAATGATTTAAAAAAAAAAATTAATAAAAATAAATAAAATTCACTATATCTATATGGTATATGAATTAAGCAGCTTGAAATAGAGCTATTAGAAGAAGAAGAAAAAGAAGAACAACAAGAAGAAAACTGGTTATGAATGAAAAAAAATATTTTTTTTTATTAATTTAAAACTGACTGATTTTACTTATGATAAAAATGCTATATTTAGACACCTTTGAACAATTTAAAAACCAAATTTTACAATTCCCCTCTATTAATAAAGTATAAAATTAGCATTAAATCAATTATAAATGAAACTATTTTTCATTTATTGAAATTTTTATTAGTTTAGTACCAAATAGAACGAAATATGCTAAAACAATAAGCGCAAAAATAACTAATATATTATACAAATGAACCATAAGCTCGAAGCGTATAGCCGTTTCGTTTAAAGGCAAATAGCTTAATTTTTAACTCTTTTGAATAGAGATGAATTCAGTAAAGTAAAAAGTAAAAGTAAGTAAGTAAGTCTTCAATAGACGCTAAGAGTCCAAAAAATAATGATCGATCATCAGACCAAAAAGCTAACTAAAGCGAAAAAAAAATATTCGTTAAAAATTTTTATATGAAAATTTGTGATTGTAAAATGAAATTAAAAAAAAAACGATAAAATATGATCGAATCATTTAAGTGGTATTTCTGCGTAAATTTAGCACTTGAAAAGCGCTAAAATTAGATGGACGACATTAAAAACTTTTAAGGCGACAAATCGGCGAAACAATAAGCGAACTTATCGTAACGAGTTATGTATTTAATGACTGTTGGCGTCGTTCTCACCAATCACCCAATTATATTTCGTGTTCTTTTTTTAAATTTTTTTTAGAAGAAAAACAAAAAAGATACTCATCAGTTATTTTGTCAAAAAAAAATAAAATTCACCAAGAATAGTGAGAATTTTAAAATAATTAGAAAAGCGAATTCGCTATTATTACTTAATATTACTTAATTTATTACTTAATTTATTACTTATTACTTAATTTTTTAAATAATGTAATTTAACATAAATTATAGCAAACAATGTAATGAAAACCGAATGTTTTGGCTTTTCTAGGCCACATAGCACAATTAAGTATAAAAAATAAATTCTTTCTATTTTTTTCACAAAATTAAGAAGAGCGCATCTAAAACTGATGGAATGCTTGATCTTGTTTTTACTGTAGAACTAGTATATCAACGCTTGGCGATTCGATGAAAATATTTGCAATTTCTGAGTGAATCCTCTAAGTCCTTTATAACGGGCCATGGTACCAATTTTCTAGGACTGCCAACTGAACCAATTTGGTGTAAAATAAGGGAAAAAAAGAATATCACAAATAAATAAATTTTCGAAATTCTACTGTAATGCGCGAAATGTGACATTTTTTGTCGCCGAATTGTCGACACCTTTCGAAATATATTTTAAAAAAAAAGCAAGAAAAAGAAAAAGCAAGAAAAAAAAAAGAAAAAATAAATTGAAAATTTGAAAAAGAATAATTGAGAAAATATCGATGTGAAACCGCTTGATGAAAGTTGTGGAAAACATAGCGATATGGCTGAATTGCTATTTGTGCGCTATTTATGCAATTATATTACTGCTTTGGCTTACGGCTGATTATGCATTCATTGCCGTTCGTCCATCCATCCGTCCATCCGTTTTCTGTCCGTTCATCCGCTCTTCGTCCATCAATTCGTCTCTCGTCCGTCTCCGTTCGTCCATATTTTAATCTATTCCATTCGTTTCAAAAATGATCAATATATTCATTCATTCATTCATTTCGCCTTTTATGTCAGTCAATATATACACTTTTCTCTCGTCAAATATTATTATTCGCATCGTAGAGAGTAGGCAAAGCAATTTGATTCTCCACCATTCTTTTGCTAATTTTTCATATTTCCATTATATTTTAGGCATATAAACAGTTTAAAAAAATAAAAAAAAGAAAAGACCATGAAAATTTCATCATTTTTAATTTTTAATTGTTCTCGCTTAAATGACTTCGACAAAAAAAAAAAAACGAACAAAAATTCTTTCAAATACATTTAATTGCCTTATTTACTTGTTTCGACATTTTTTTTTCAAAATTATACAATACAATTTTAATTATTTAATTATTATTATTTTTATTTTTCCTAATTTTTGTTTAAATTTATATTTTTTCAAAATTTAAAAAGAAAAGAAAATTTGATAAAATTAATGAACGAATATTTGAAGAAAAAAAAAAGAAGATAAATTAATTTAATTAATTGTATGATGGATTGCTTTATATTTCGTTATATAAACAAATTTTTTTTTTTTAAATTCTTATTTTAGTTTATGGAATGATTTCAGTGGTCATTGGTGTGTTATCCTGGATAAAGTCGATAAAATTCTATGCATTCCATGCACTACCTTCTGTTTTTTCAATAAGAATTAACAATGATGTAAAATTTCGCCAATGCTGACGCACTAAGGACATTGTACTATTAATTCTATAGCGAAAGGTTTTATCAATGGTTATATCAATCGCTGGGACCAATTAAATCAAAAATATCATCGATAGGATGCGAAAAGGTGGATTCAAGGAAGATTCTTTATTTTTCGATTCACCTTAGATTTTCGGATAACATAAATGGCGAATATGAAATGCTAAATAAGATATCAAAATTTATGCGTTATTAATCGCTTTTCAAATATATTTTAATAATAATCGAAGATAAAATTCTTCTTTTTTTGTAAAAATTTTGCAAAATATATAATTTTTTTCATAATCCAATATAAATCGCTATATTAATAGAAAATTTTTCTCAAAAATAAACAACAACCATAATAAAATTTTAAAGAAATTAAACAAGGAAATTCCATTTTTTTTTTCTAATTTAGTGATAAATACTCTAATAATAACGATTTATATTAATCTTATCAGTACACTTATCAGTCATAAAACGAAAAGCATTCTAATTTTTTCATAGAAATTAAAATATTTTTTAGAAAAAGAAATAATAGAATAATAATAATAATGAATGATTAAATGACATATATATATATATATACCGGCTGCTGAGGCTCGATTCCTCGCAAGGAAAATCGAGGTGATCACTCACCTGTGCCTTTATCGCCAAGGGACTATATATATATATATATATGTATATATATAAAACGATAATTAATAAAAAAATAATAAAAAAAAAGAAATAAATAATTTTTTTAACACAAATACGAGTGAATATTGACATAAAACTGGTCAATAATGGACTTGGCAGTTGAGCAGTAAGCAGTAAGTTGCTTCGAGCTAAGAGTAATACATTTCTAATTTTTTGACCATTATTCGCAACGATAAATCTTTTTATTTGAGAGGATATATAAGCGAATCGCTTGGTACTACAGTTATAAATACAGTTTAGCAAAAAAATTCACTTCCATATTAGTCGATTAACGAAATTGTGGAAATTCGCTAAACTATTCGAAATTCGTTTCCGACGATAAATATTTTTGAATTTAATTTAATTAATTCTCATATAAAGCATAAATTTTTTAAATGAATATTTTTCTCATTCATTTTACATAATTAATACTATAGAATGATAATGAATTAATTTTTAAAATTTTATTTAGCGAATTTTTTAATTTCTAAATAATTTCTAAAAGATTCAGTAAAAATTTTATAAAAAATGCATATCCTATTTCATATTCATTTCATTTTTTCATTTTCCACATTCGAATTATTTTTACAATAAATATATTATTCAGTCGATCGAATGAATAGACTTATCATTTAAAAAAACAAAAAAAAAGAATCATTAAAATTTATATTAAAATTATATTAAACGCAGCACTTACTCAGAATATTTTAATTGTTAATAGAATGTGAAACAAATATAAAACCCTAATTTATTTGAGAAATTCTTCTAATTTGGTAAAAAATAAAAAAAGAAAAAATGTCTGACGCGAAATCTTATTTAATAAACAAAGTATAATAACCTTTAATAATTTTTCTTTTTCGGTAGAAATTTAGGAATTTCTCTTTTTCAGAAATCATTTTATATTTTAGAATTATAATTTAAAAAAGATTATTATTTGAAATTCAATAAAATTTACAATAGAGCTATAAAATAAACTGATAAACTGAAAACGGACGAATGTTAAGTGATCAGAAATGAGCTTTGCCATTTATTTATTTTTTATCTTTTCTAGTTTTCCATCGCTTTTTTAAAAACAATACCATCATTCAAATGAAAGTAAAAAAATAATCTATATAACATCATTCGGTAGCATTCCGCAGAACATCGGTTAACATTCACTTAGAATATTTCATTCAAAGTATCTTTTCATTTTATCGCTTTTAATTTATCGCTTCGTAAATGAGTAGTTGACACACCGAACCAGGTACACCACAGTGAATGGAAATTATTTCCCTCAACAATTTATCTTATCCACAGAAATTATAGAACCTTCAGAATAGTTAAACAAGAATTAAAGCAAAAAAAAATTTTATTTTCAAGCAAATTTTATAATTTAACTCTATTTTTTCATACAAAAAATGCAAATTTCGCATAACTGAATTCGTTAAAGATTAAGTAATTCACCAAATTCATTGAAAATTACGTAATTATGAGCAATATTTACCTACTAGTGAACAATAAAATTAATTTCGCATCGAATTCAGCGCATCAAAATAATAATTTAACACCCATAAATTTTAAAAATGAAAAAGAATTCAAAGCATTAACTGTGTATTTCCGATCGAATCCATGTAATCAGCCGTTTTGAAGCTGAAATTGGTTGCTCAAAACCTCGGGAGAATTTCGCAGCTGCCTCAAGTGTGAGACGATCGCGTTCACCCATTTCTTCATCTCTGAACAAAATGACAATAACGAGATTCGATAAGTTAATTGGAAAAGAAAGGTTACAAAAAGATTATAAACTAAAGAATTCAAAGATTTAATTACAATCTAAAAACTGATTCTAATTTTCGCAACTTAATAATCAATAAAGCAAGCGACTTACTCAGCTTCATGATTTATTAACTTCTGCGACAATTGGTCCTTTTTATTGACAAGACCTACCAATTCCTCCATCATAGCATCAGTTTTCTGTTTATCCTCTTCTGTTCTATTATCTTCTGAAAATTGCTTCTACTTTGTACTTTGAAATACTTGAATAATATTTCAGATTGTTTTTGCTTTTCAATACCACGATTTCAATAAGTATATAAATTTTAATCTACACCTATTCTCAATTTCAATTTATAAGTAATGATAAAACTCATTTTCTGAATTACAAAATATTTGAATCCATAAGATTAAAAATAAACTATGCAGAGGATAAAGAACGAGTAAGGGAAAAAACTATACGTTCATGCACTGAAACAGAACCCAACTGCCGTTGAAGCTCGGCAATATTATCGTTCACATCATGCAATTGCTCCAGAACATTAAAATATTCGCTCTTCCTAACTAGGCTATCCTTTTCATTCAACAACCGCATATGTTCCTTTAATAAACATTCTTCCTCTTCCGAAGAAGCTTCTGTAAAATATATTTAAAAATAATAAAAAATAAAGAATAGAATAAATGATAATTCCTTCAATAAAAAAAATTAATTTTTGAAAGAAGAGAAAGCAATGCAAAAAAGACACAAACTATCAAACAAACTTTTCATAGACAATCAAAGAAATCAAAAAGCAAATAAACGGCATATAAAAATGCTAAGTGTGAAAAACAGCACCAGTTTTTTTCAAGCGACAGCAAATTTTTTCATCTTCTGCTGAAACTTCAAGCAAACGATTTGCCAGACGGGATTGCTCTTCTTGAATTTTTGATCGATCGGAAGCATCCTTCTAAAAAATTTATGGAAAAATGAAAAAAATATGTTAAAAACAAGGAAAAAAATTGAAAATAAATTTTAAAATTAACATGAAAGAGCCAACAAATTTTTAGACTTTAAAGAACGTTAACCTCCCATTGAGAAATTATTTTTCGCGTTGGAGTCATTTCCACGGTTGGTTCCGACACCTTTAACGCTATTGAAGGAAACTGGAAGTAAAATAAATTAACGAGATTAAGCAAATTTTTCCGCATTTTTTAAACCTCATTTCATTTTTATCGTAATTTTTTCTTTTCCTTTTATTTAAATTATTATTTAGATTAGCCCTCAGTTTTTCTCGAATAATTAAATTATCCTGTTGTTTTACTTATTTTATTCGCCCTCTTTTCCCTTACTGTGACTTTAAAGCCTTACCCAAGCCAAAATTCAAAACATAAATGAGTGCTTACTGTTCGTCCAGCCATACGAGCAACTGTTTCCGCAAGTTCTTGTCCTCTCATACTTCCATATCGTTTCATTCTATCCAGCGTTGTCTGAGTAGAATCATCTTCGATCTGAATGCAAAAAAAATTTAAAAATACTTAATTTAAAAAAAATACTAATACCAACTACTAATATATATCGAAATAAGCGATATTTTATATTTAGCAGTTTATTATAAAAAGAAAGAAATATACAAATTCCCTGAAATCTACAAAAATCTACAAAATAATATAAATAAATATATAAAATAGAAATAAAAAAAATACGTACATCCACTTTACTATTCGACAGGCTCTTTGAATGACGTTCAAGGGAGGAAGTGTGCTGAGGTCCATCTATAATTAAATACAATGTATTTACACTTTAAAGAAATGAAAAATTCAGTAAAAAAACGACTGTTTAAAGCTCAAAGAATAAGAATTAAACACATAAATTTTTATCAAAAAATTGAAGAACATTCACATCATTTACGAACATTTATTTCGGCTGGAAGTAGACGACGGTTGAATTTTCTTGAATTGATGAAATTTAGTAGATGGTGTTACCACTTCTACAAGGAAAATTTTCATGCTTTCATAATATCATGCTAATAAAAAGTTGAGCAATTATCAACCAGCAACTAATAAACAATAAAATAATATAATCCAAGCCAAATTATCCATAATAAATTACAACTGGATGAACAAACCCATGGATTCACCTTAAATGCTAAAATAATAGATCATAGCTATAAGACGATTAAAAATACCTGCTTGCCATAATAAGACCAGTGGATATGGTCATACGAATTTCTAATGACTATGATTGCAACTATAGAATTTTTATCCTATCGATTGCTTTTTCGAAACATTTTGCAAAGAGCATAAAATTTTGTTAAACGTTGAAGCAATAATAAAGATCGAAGTAAGATAAAAATTAATTTTCAGTATTCCTCATCGAGAGCACTGAACAGAGCACCAATGATTACACAGAAACCGCAATGTCGATGGCACTGCACAAAAAGCATTCAACACTCATAGCGTACAAAAGCTATCCATTCTTTGCAATGCAAAATGCAGAATGCGCAACTCAAAACACTTAAGAACGCCATTTAAAATCTTTTAACTCATGATAGACTTGTATTAGCCCTTTTCTGTTCATTTACATTTTTAATGGGGAAGGGATCCGTTATTCACAGTGAAAAAATAAAAGAAAAGACTAAATATAAATTGTTTAAGAAGCAAAAAAAATTTTGAAAAAAGCTGGTGTTAAGCAATAAGAAATGTTGAAAACTTTTCATAAACGGTGCAATAAATGACGGAAAATAAAGTAATATAAAATAACCTGCAGGAGACTGATGCGTTGTTGATGGAGCACTGGCACTAATAACAATGGTCGAACCGTCTAATACTGCATTGCCCATAAGACGACGTGCTTCCTCACGAAGTCGTCTATAAAACATTTTTGAAATTTTTAAGCCTATTTCACTGATTATTGCTTGAAGGACAATATGCAATTAATGAAGCCTCGCCTTAAATTGTGATATTTTTCCTCCAAGTAAACTGTTAAATATACATATATTAAAATAAGACTCAAATTACATTATAAGCAGTCAGAAAACCACCAACAAGGAACGTTCAATATCTGTTTCGCCAACGGTTTTTAAATGATCTACCATCTGCCGTCGTTTATTCAACAATTCCTCGTGTCTATTAGCGACGATGGATGAAATAGCAGTTAAGGAGTTATTGTAATTGTCGCTGGTCTGCGGTTGATTTATTGAAGGAACTGGTATATATGCTCTCCCACTGAAATAAAACTGCCAACAATCTTCCATCAAACTGGCCATGAATTTTGGAAAAAAAGAAGATTAAATAAATTACCGCTGACTACCGGTTTTACTCGTAATTTCCTCTTCCGAATCTGAATTGAAAGGATTTGCGAAATTTTTAGACTCTGATTTTTGTTTGTCAGCCATTTTTACGATTCGCTGATCATTAAAATTATTTATTACTGCTTCAAATCTCGTCCTGTCTTCATCCTTTAAATACAAGAACTTTTTAAGCGAGAAGAGAGGAGAATATATTTTTAATAGATGAAAGAAGTAATTTCGCCGAAATAGAGCTCTTGCGTCACAACAGCTATTTTAAAAAATGAACCGGAATGTTCGTGAGATCGATGGCTTCTTCATGTTCGCGCTGTTTCCGTAAATTTTCAAGTTCTCGCATTACCTTAAATATCATGCGCTAAATCAAACTTATTTTTAAAAAAAAAGCCGAAATTAGAATGATATAATTTGAAATGCATACGCTTGCTTCAGATTCCGAAAGAGCGAATAAAGCAGACACTCGGTGGTCCGAATCTTTTAACTTAGTATCGGCTGGCGATACACCTTCCAAAAGCGAACGCAGTTGAGAAAGAAATATAAGAACATCCTGCCGATCAGGTAACGTAGCAATAATTCCTGCATCCAGCTTCCTAATTTTTCAAAAACAAAAATAATTGTAATGAATAAATAAAAGTGGATAAAAGAAAAATGAAATAAATGACAAACACCACAACAAATATAGGATAGAACATACTTTTGAACGCCGATGGCGTAAGCAGCCTCGAAAGCCTTACGACAGTTATCACGACGTGCACAAAGCAAATCAGAAAAATCAAGTTTATTAAAATCACCAATTAAATCAGGCTTATATCGATGAATTAATGCACAAAAAGCCAATCCGGAACGGAAGCTTTTCCTTAAAATTATAAAGAACGTTTCTTAAAGATTCATCAAATAATGATTCATCAGAGCTCTACAATTAATGTCGTGAAAAAGAAAAGAAAAAAATAAACGTACGTAAAGTCAGTAATTTTGACTGAAGTATATCCATTTGTTATCCTTTGACACCATGCTAGAATATCCTCATTTTCGACAACTTCAGGAAGCTGATTATAAACAGGTCTCAATTTTATTATTTCATCATGCGTTTTCGAAATTTTGGTATCAGCTTCATCTATCATATTTGTTACTGGTTCCCTGAAATTCATTGCCAAAATAATGAAGTGACGTTTAAATTTATAAATACTAAAGTTTATTTAAGAAAAATTTAAGCTATTGAAACAAACAAACGTTTTCGCGAAAATCTGATGCAAATTTTGCAATTCGTTTGCCTCTTGCTCTAATCTGGTTGACGTGGAAGATGCCAACACCTTCAGCTCATCTGAATAATTTTAAAAAAACATATAGCTATAAAATTCATCGGAAATATCAATGTTAGTAATTTATTTTAGTGGTATAAATGCATAATTGTCGCAGTGTATAAACTCATAAGAACTATTGCCAAATACATCAAGGAACTAACCTTTTTTATGAGATTCATTGTTAGTCTCTCCACTTTTTAGATATTTGGTCGTAGAGTTCACTGCTTTAATAGGTCTAAGGTTAAAAGATTCGTTACCACATTCATTTTTCATATTGTTACTAACAGCCACATCCTTAAGTATTTCAATATCACAAGGAATTAAGGAAATACTAGCGATAGCAGAATCTGAAAAATAAACGATTTGTGAATTCTGACAAAGACTCAAGATTTTATTTTATTTTATCTTTTTATTTTATTAAACTTTAATTAATGTCACCAACCATTGGCGCAATTAATTTCATGATCAGGTATTTCACGATTAATGCTTTCTTTTCGACAGCTGTGGACGCTCGAAGTATCACTAGCAATATCAACGTCACTAAAAAATTGTCTTTTACGTTTTTTCAACTGATATTAAACCATTTTTCTGCATGAAAAAATGATCTTTACAAAAAACCATGATAAAAAACCTTCATTAAAATTACCTTAAGATTTTGATTTTAAGATTTAACCCACAATTATGTTTCAGAATTTATAAATTAATAAATAAATTTATAAATTTAATAAATTTATTTTTCAATCTTTTCTCATTTTTATCAATAAAATAAATTTGAATGGCAGATGCCATCTTCTTAAGATTTGCTAATCTTTCTCTATCAGCCACTCAAAAGAAAATGGCTTATACAAATAAGCAAATATAAGCTCAAAAAATGATTATAGTTAAATCAGTAAAAATGAACTTCGCTTCTCCTTCATCAACGAGTGAACAATAAATCAGAATTTGAATGGAGCAATGAACGACTTCAGCCCACAGTGGTCGCAATTTTAATTTAAGTTCTGCACCCGTACCAGGACTGTTCTACAAGTATAACTGCACATAAAAATTATAATTATTTACAATTATTTACAAAATGTAACACTAAAGTCAAATAAAAAGATACAAGTAGATTGGTGAACAAATTATAATTTAAGAAATTTATTTCTGCTATAATTACAAATTAATGCAACCAAATAACGGTTGCAAAAAATTGAAATTTTGGATTTTAAAAAATTAACGATAATGACCTCAATGAACAGTCGCATATTGAGATTCACTGCACCGATAGGCAAATGTTTACCCTTTCGAGTAAGTTCTTCTACCATAAGAATCCATTCCTTATCATCGTAAACACGAGTAACATTGTTTCCATAGAGGGTAGTTTCAAAAAGCAAAGGATCAGACGTTTGTTCTGGCCACACAATCAGGCCACGACATGGATCTGATATTCCTCTTTCCCATTTACGCACTTTGCTTTCCACTCGCCGTCTTCTGAATACGAAATATCAGTGAAATAACATAAAACACAAATAACATGAATAACATTAGAGAAAAAAAAAGAATTACGAGTTAATTAATAGAGGAATTATAATTATTTGCAACATTTTTAAAAAACAATGCTGAATACCTAATTAGAAAATTTTAAGCTTAAAAAAACATGAAAAAACATTGTTCAAACATAAATAAGTCAAATATGGTAAATTATTGAAGAATTTTCAAAATTTTAACAAAATGAGAGACTGATTAGCTCAAATAAATGAAACAATCTTTTGTGTGGCTCGATAAGAGAGAACATATAGAAGAAATGAGGGCCTTACTAACGATATTCTCTGCTAAAAGGTATTCACCTTGGCAGTAAGTGGAGCCAGCCAAATCAGAAGTACACTTCGTTGGAAAGAGAATGGATATATCTAAAGTGTTCACTGCAACTAGCAACAATATGCATTTACGAATATTTGCCACAACAATTATCTTCCTCCAAAAAAATTAAATGAACAAACCTATGCAAACACGCGACTAAAACATTTTCTGGCGTCCATTTGTTCGTTCCAATAATAAGCAATTCTTGTGGAATTATTGTAAAACGATATTTGGCAGCCTTTTTATTTGATCGTTGAATTTTACGCCAGACAAGACTCATTGCAGAATGCGACAGAATTATTTTATATTGTTCGCCTTTCTGATTCGCAAACTATCAGCCGATGTGATGAAGAGAACAATCGTTTCGAAACATCGATGCGATTGATAGAATTTACTGAAAGAAAACTTTTTTTATTCAACCTATCGATAGTCTAAACATATGCGAATTTATATAAATATATATTATGTATATAGATTCATCAATATTCACGTAAAATGAGGCATATATCAAGGCATTGCCTTCTTTACCGTTCTTCATAGGTCTAAGCCCATCTCAGCTAGATAATGAGTGTGAGTATACCGGTACAAGTTCAAAAATGGAAGTACGATCACCCATATACATAGATGACATCAAGTTGTATGCTAAAAGCGAAAGCGACAGTGACCTGTTCATTCATCTAGTACGAATCTATAGTAAGGACACCGGGATATTGGACTAAGAAATGTGGCCTAATGGCATAAAGAGAAGGAAACTAAGTCTGACGGAATGGAACTACCACAGCATTATAAAAATGAAATATAGATTAGCTAAAGACGGAAACGCCTCATAACTCATGAAAGTTTCCACCTCAACACCAAAAGGCCAGCATGAAAAAAGGCGAAATTTGGTGGATGCGCCACCATTCTGAATGAAAACTTGGAACACTGAGGTATACCAATGGATGGAAAAATGAAATGCTAAAAGAATGCCTAAAGCAGCAGCAGATTAAGAAGAATTAAGCAAAAAAAGCGCCATGGTAATATCCTCCATAGGAGGTATCATTGCCTGAGTAGTTGGGCGGCTGCATTGACAGATATTATCAATGACTGGAAAAAGATAGGCTAAAAGATAGCATGTAATTGAGTATCGCAACACAAGAACAGCTACTATGCACCAGATCCACTTCTGATTTACCGCATTCGACAGGACAGGGTGGAGAGAAGCAGAGATTATGCAATGCAGAATCTGAGATGCAGTTAGGAGTATCATCCAATGAACACCATACAGGAATATCTGCACAGAATAAGGTTAGATCCTCCTAAAACAAATGGGCAATCCCACAGAAAAACGTGGAAAATGACAAGACCATATGGGATCTCTACATTCAGAACAAGGAAGCAATGGCCAATCAACCAAACTTCATGGCAATATACAAGAACTAGGAAGTTGTTTGTAGACATAGCAATATCAAGTATTGAGAAAAAGGAATATGAATATAAGAAACTACAAAAATACCAGAGACTGAAAGAGGAATTAAAGTAAATTGAACACTTATGCATAATGCGCGTACGAGAATTGTGACCCGTATGCTCGAAAATTCGCTAAAAACATATTCCAAGAAGAAGAACATTAGAGATCTCTATCGAGACGAGAAACAACGAAGATATTGCGCGGAATTCTCGATTTTCCATTCCTCTCGTAGAGGATCCGAGATTCCTATGCCACATATAAGAGATGAAGAGTGAATTTTTTTTTTTTTTATATTCTTTATTCTATAATCACTTAAATTAACTAAATCGTGCTATTTAATGAGATGTAAACATTTATTTAAAAAGAAATCTTATCACATTTATCGATTATCGAATAAAATTCATCGAAAGAACAAAAAATTTTTTATCAAATATTTGCAATATTTTCATTTCTTCGATTGAGAACATCAAATTATTAATTTCCCCCAATTGTAATATTTTATAATTCTATAGAAAATTTTCTATAAAAAATTTCCGCTTTTGGCTAAGGAAATATTATTCATCGATCTTTGTACATATTGCATAAGCGCTACTCGATGAAATGAAACACAACAGCTAGACACTAAGCCTCAATAAACAAAAGAACGTGTAGATCAGTTAAGCGACATGTTCCGAAGTTTCTATGAGTAGTACGCGTGCCAAATAAGCGGAAAGTTTCGAAATCTTATGCGGATAGGATAATGGGAATGTTCACGAAAGACAACCTCAAAACATTTTACGCTTTAGCGAAATCAACCGATACTATAAACGATTTTTTCAAAAATACATTAAGCAATCACATTAAATTAGACCACTATTGGCAATGAGCCAAATTATTATTTTCCCTTCAAAAGTCATTAATTTAAATAAAATTCTTAGTTGATAATTCGTTGAAAATAATTTAGAAATTTGTGATAATTGTTAACAATAAAAAAAGGGAAATGAAATAATTTTAATTGCTATACCAGTAATAAAAATAACAATAATTAATGATAATAATAATATTATTATTATAATATTATTATAATAGTAATCAAAATAATAATGATAACCTAACAATAATGACAATGATAATAATGCTAATATTAATTATTAATATTAATAATAGTAATTAACAAATAACGACAATAATAAGTGATAATAATGATAACGATACAATAGTAGTAACGATTAATAATAATAATAGCAATAATGATAACAATATAATGATAGTGATAAAGCAATAATAGTAATAAAAAAAAATAATTTGCAATTATTCAGTTTAAGATAGTAAAAAATGATCAAAATTGGCATTATTTTATTAAAAATATTAATTAAGAGCGTTAATAATAAAAACGATAATATTAATTATTAATGGTACCAAATAATATTGAAATTTCTAATAGGGTATTGTAATTTCTCATTTGTGTGGCTCCGTTAACTATTAGAATGTGATAGGATCATCGGCCTAATCGGCCTAAGCCTAGGGTCGAAAAACGATTAGGAATTTCGGCAGCATCGAGATTTATTGCTTAGCTTAAATATTCATTAATCTAATTCATTTCCAATTTTTTTAAGTGAATTTAATATAATTTATTTTCTACGATTTTTCAGATAATTTTTAAAAATATCAATAAATCATCGAAATAATATTAAAACTTATAATATTATAATAAAAACTTATAATAAACTTATAAAACTTATAATATAAAGAAAAATTTAAGGCCAGAAGAGCTTATTGTTCTCGCGTCGGAATGCCGATGCTAAAGTTTCACTTCTGCTATGACTTCTTTCAGTAGCATCAGTAAAGTGCTATAGAGTGCCTGATAAAAGTTATCCGGTTCGACATGATAGCGCCCTTCTGGCCTTACAATTTTTCAACCCTAGCCAAAAAAAATTTAATGTTTAATCATGAGCGCTCTTAAAGAAAAATTACTAAAAAATTAACCAATTAAGCGATTGGATAGAAATTCATAAATTGCTAACTTTCATAAATTGTATCAATGATAGCAAAAGAAATCGTGCAAAACTGCAGAACTTGTAGAAATGATAAAATCAAATTATCTCTACAATGGAATTTTAATAATTTGAAAAATCCATGCAAATGATAATTTTAAAATTGTTCATGTAGTTTCAATAAATTAATATTGTATTAATTAATTAAAAATTAAAAATTACTTTGGTTAATATCATTTTAATTCAAATTTATTAATTTTAAAATTATAAACAAATAAATGAATAAATGAAAAACAAAAATATAGAAATAAGCATTCATGCATGCATTATTAAAAACAAATTTATAAAAAATTTATAATAAAAGTTATTAAATAAAATAAATTTATAAAAGAAATAATATTAAAAAAACAAATAAATTGTTGCTTGCTGAATTTAAAAATATTATTTGATAGTAATAATAATTAATAAATTACATCTATTTATTTTCACAAAGCTGCAAATGAATAAAGAAATAATGAAGCAATTCACTTTGTAATAATTTCGGAAAAAATAAATAAATAAATAAATTTAAGCGAAAATTAGTTGAACCACTTGAAAAGTCTTTCTTAACTTTATTATAAATAAACTTGAAGATGTAAGAACGAAAATAAGAGTTCAAACTATGAAATGAACCATGAAAATTGGTTAATTTTTAAAATTATTAAACTACACTTATTTGTAAAAAATGTGGTCGACTGATAGGATAACATCTTATCTCTTAATTCTTCAAAAACTTATCGCATTTCTTTTAAAAAGTATTTGTATCTAAAAGAAATTTTCAGCACAATTTATTTGCTCAAGGTGATATTTAATGGTTCAGCATTTTTCTTGAAGGCATAAGATTACCATTGTTTATCACTGCATCTATGATCATTTATTAAAATTTCACCATTTCATTCCAACTGAAAAGAATTCTATAATCATACGAAATTTTCTGAAAATCATCGAAATCCACAATGAATGGCCTTATCGAAAAAATTTCGTTCAAATTCATCAGCTAATTCTTGAAGGCGTCTTGCAATATTGAATAGTTGTCGCTCTTCTTCGCTCATTTGTCGGATTCCAACAATGGTTTTGCCCAAAATTTTTTGCAAAAATTAATCAAAAATTCATTGCATTCGTTATGTTTAAATAAATTTATTTATAATAGAGAGCATTTAGCATTTTTAAAAATAAGGCATTATGAGATATTATTTTGCTCTTTATGGCTAATCAAATCGAGCAAAATTTTTGGAAATAACTCATTTTCGATATTCGATAAAAAAAAAATAAACGAACAAACCAATACGAATTTCTCGATTAATCCAATGTTCATCGCTTTTGTCATTTAATAAATTTTTTAACTCAATGCAATTACGAAATTTTATCTTTCGATTCCCATGTTGAAAAATTTTCATAAGAAAATTTATTTTTTCATAAATAATCTCATAAAAATCAATTATTACTTGCGAAACACTTTTTGTAAACATCTAAAAAATTTATTTTTATTGACAATTAATTGGAAAAAAAAATTGAGAAAATCGCTAAATATGAGGAAAAAAAAATTATAAAAAATAATAATAATTAAAATTAAAAAAAAATTAAAATTTAAAAAAATATGAATGAACTGAAAAAAAAATTTTATTTCGAAAATTTAAAAATAAAATTCACATAAATCAGATTTACAATTTAAAAAAATTTAGCCGAAAATAAAACAAATATTAACTTTCGAAAAGTTTTTGGAACTATAAAAATATACACAAAATTCAATAGAATAAAAGATGATGAATTTTACAAAAAAAAAAAAGAAAACGAAGAAAGAATTGAAGAAATTTAAAA